CCCAGCCAGAGGAGCACTCTGGCCCCTGAGCCCAGCTCAGAGGAGCATTCTGCCCCCTGAGCCCAGCCAGAGGAGCACTCTGCCCCTGAGCGCAGCCAGAGGAGCACTCTGCCCCCTGAGCCCAGTCCCAGCACTCTGCCCCCTGAGCCCAGCCCAGAGGAGCACTCTGCCCCCTGAGCCCAGTCCCAGCACTCTGGAGACCATGACTTAGGAAGGAGGTGATTGGGCTCTTTGTAGACACTACGCTTCAGAAGGGATCTGAGCTCAGGGGAGCGGGTCACCTCCACGGCGGTGGCAGGCAGGCAGAGAGGGAGCAAGCAGGCAGCTGTTTTGTCCTCTGCTGCAGGCCCAGCAAGTGACCTTGGACAATCGAGTCTCTCTTCCTGATGGGTACAAACCTTGTGGAAGCCAACATGTGCCTGTGTGGGTGTGGCGCATACAAGGTCCTCCAGAAATGGCTGCGGAGAAAAAAGATATTAAAAAGTGAGGGAGGCCAAGGAGCATGCTCACAAAGAGTGTGCCCCTGAGAGACAGGCAGACAGACAGACAGACAGACAGACAGGAGAGGAGATAAGAAAGGAAGGCAGAGAGAAAGGAAAAGATTAAAAGGAGGCTTGGGAGATGACAGCAAAGTGTTCAGTGTGCAAGCAAGAGCGATGTGAGTTCAAATCCCAAGCACCCATTTAAAAATCAGGCCCATAGATTTGTGTCAGCAACCCTAACTCCGGGGAGAGTGGTGATAGGGAAATCCCTGGAGTTTGCTGGTCAGCTAGTCTAGCCAACTGTTGAGTTCCGGTTGAGAAAGAAACCCTGTCTCGAAATAACTAAACAAACAAGGTGGACAGAGATAGAGGAAGACCTCTGGCCGCCATACGCGTGAGTCTACACAGGCATGCACACAGACGTGGAGCAGAGGCCTGCTGGAGGTGACAGAGGGGCCGTGTGAATACAGAGGAGAAGGCATTCCAGGCAGACACACTGCCCTGTGCAAAGGTCCCGGAGCAGGACACAGCCCTGCGCGATGGAGGAGCAGCCAGGATGCTCCTGTGACTATAACAGAGCAAATGAGGGAACGGAGATGAGGACAGGCAGAAGGGGGAGGCACTAGCGGAGCTGGGACCTGACTCGGCTCACGGCGCCCTCTAGCGGCTGCAGGGAGAACAGTCGTGAGGCAGAGCCTAGGACTAGGAGGAGGCAGAACAGATTTTTCAAGCTTAGATGGGGAACGGTTTTATTTAACTTTTTGTAGAAGTCTTCTAGCTTCTGGATGAAGGTGTGGCAAAATTGAAACACTATTAACTACAATAATTATCATAACACGCAATAATAGAGGCTGGAGAAACGGCTTAGCGGTTAACAGCGTTCTGCTCTAGCAAGGGACCAGAACGCTGGGGGTGCTTCAACCATCTTCAACTCTAGAGCACCTTACGCCCCCTTCCGGCCTCAGAGGGCACTGCACTCACACAGCGTGCAGACAAGAGGCAAAATGCTCACACACAAAAATATGAATAAAATAAAATCTGAAAGATAACTATAATTAAATTCATCACATCTTATAACTGTTTGATAATGTATTGATTACTATTTATGCATATTATTACATTAAGTGATTGCTGTTGCTGATGATAGTTGTGCTGTATTATTACACTGTAGGGTGACTGCAGATAATAATACACAAGGTCTCATGCAGCTGAGGGGAATTTTTTTTAAATATAGAACAGAACGCTTCGCAAATTTGGGTATCATCCTTCCCACAGGCCATGCTTATCTTCTCGGTATTGTTCCAATTTTAGTGTGTGTGCTGCCGAAGCGAGCACCTGAGGGAAATGTTAAATGTTTTTAGTGTGAATAAAACATTGATGTATGCTTGGGGAAGTTAGTGTCTTTATCCTAATTCAAACGTTGTACAGTATGAACCTGTATCAAAATACAGCATGGCCCTCCACAAGTGTGTATGGGTTTTTTAAAAGATTTATTTATTTATATAATTTATGCATGAGTGCTCTTCTTGCATGTGTGCCTGCATGACAGAAGAGGACATCTGATCCCACTATAGATGGTTGTGAGCCACCATGTGGGTGCTGGGAATTGAACTCAGGTCCTCTGGAAGAGCAGCCAGTGCTCTTAACCTCTGAGCCATCTCTCCAGCCTCCAATGTGTGTGACTTTTATGTCTTGGCTGAAAAATAAACCTGGAACCTGGGGTGATGGAGTAGCCGATCGGAGGCCTGTATGGCTGGAGCAGAGGAGGTGAGGAGAAGAGATGGAGGCAGAGGCGAGAGGAACAGGAAGAGGTAAACAAACCCTTGCCTGGCTCAGAGCGCTGGACCCATGCTCAGCACCACAGAAGCTGGGATTTCTGGTGTCTGTCGTGATGTCATGAGGGTCAAGGCGTTCAAGCTTCTCCTCAGCTACACGTGGGGGTTGAGACCAGCTGGGGCTGCGGGAGACCCTGTCTCTAAATAAATAAATAATCTGGAGCCTGGCGTGCCAGCCTACACCTGCCGACCCAGCACTTAGCAGTGCTAAGCAGAGCCAGAAGCTCATGAGCAGCCAGGGTTACAAAGTGGGCTCCATATAAAGAAAGAAAAAAAAGTAAAACCACCTAAGACAAACCGTTGTGGGGCTGGAGAGATGGCTCAGTGGTTAAGAGCGCCTGCTGCTCTTCCAAAGGTCCTGAGTTTGAGTCCCAGCACCCACATCAGAAGGCTTGCACCCGCCTGTAACGCCAGCTCCAGGGCAGCTTCTCCGTAGCCTGGGCCGTTCTAGACTCAATTTGTAAACCAGCCTGCTCTGAAGCTCAGAGATCCCCCTGCCTCTGCCTCCCCAGTGCTGAGATTAAAGGCGTGTGCCACCACAGCCAGCTAGAATGAAGCTTTTAAAATAATCAACTAAACTAATCACCGTAGTCTCCAAAAGTAAGTTAAAATGACAATAATGCTAACATTATTTTTTCCAGTATTTTCACTGTTACTTATTCATTCCTGAATCCCATGTAGCCCAGGTTGGCCTCCAACTCATCATGTGACTGTAGCTAGCCTTAAATGCCTGATCCTCCCGGCAACGCCCCCTGGGGGCTGGAATGACAGGTGAGGCCACCACACCTGGCTTCTTCGGTGGCCAAGTTGGAACCCAGGGCCCCAGGCTCGCTAGGCAGGGCTCTGTCCACGGCCCCTAGTCAGGCGCTCTTACCATCCTCTGGTCTAAGGATTCAGACACTGTTGTGCAGCACAGTCTGGGGGGGGGGGCACCCCTCCCCCAGACCTGAGACCCCCCAACGCTGTCCCTTCCCCAGGTCAATCGGGAGCTGGCAACAACTGGGCCAAGGGCCACTACACGGAGGGCGCGGAGCTGGTGGACGCAGTCCTGGATGTGGTGCGGAAGGAGGCGGAGAGCTGCGACTGCCTGCAGGGCTTCCAGCTGACGCACTCGCTGGGCGGCGGCACGGGCTCGGGCATGGGCACGCTGCTCATCAGCAAGATCCGGGAGGAGTTCCCAGACAGGATCATGAACACGTTCAGCGTGGTGCCGTCGCCCAAGGTCTCGGACACGGTGGTGGAGCCCTACAACGCCACGCTGTCGGTGCACCAGCTGGTGGAGAACACGGACGAGACCTACTGCATCGACAACGAGGCGCTGTACGACATCTGCTTCCGCACGCTCAAGCTGACCACGCCCACCTACGGGGACCTCAACCACCTGGTGTCGGCCACCATGAGCGGAGTCACCACCTGCCTGCGCTTCCCGGGCCAGCTCAACGCCGACCTGCGCAAGCTGGCCGTCAACATGGTGCCCTTCCCGCGCCTGCACTTCTTCATGCCCGGCTTCGCGCCCCTCACCAGCCGCGGCAGCCAGCAGTACCGGGCGCTCACGGTGCCCGAGCTCACCCAGCAGATGTTCGACGCCAAGAACATGATGGCCGCCTGCGACCCCCGCCACGGCCGCTACCTCACCGTGGCCGCCGTCTTCCGGGGCCGCATGTCCATGAAGGAGGTGGACGAGCAGATGCTGAGCGTGCAGAGCAAGAACAGCAGCTACTTCGTGGAGTGGATCCCCAACAACGTCAAGACGGCCGTGTGCGACATCCCACCGCGCGGCCTCAAGATGGCCGCCACCTTCATCGGCAACAGCACCGCCATCCAGGAGCTGTTCAAGCGCATCTCCGAGCAGTTCACCGCCATGTTCCGCCGCAAGGCCTTCCTGCACTGGTACACCGGCGAGGGCATGGACGAGATGGAGTTCACCGAGGCCGAGAGCAACATGAACGACCTGGTCTCCGAGTACCAGCAGTACCAGGACGCCACGGCTGAGGAGGGCGAGTTCGAAGAAGAGGCCGAAGAGGAGGTGGCCTAGCGCCCCCCGCCCCCGCCGCCACTCCACCCCCGGGGCACACCAGCAAAGCTTTGACCCTGAGCTCCCACCTCTGTGCGCGCGCGCACACACACACACACACACACACACACACACACGCTGCCCGTCCCCTCGGACACCATGCTGCGCATCGTCACCACGAGGACCAAGGCCAGAGCCCAGGTTGCTTTTACTTGCTTGAACCCCTGCACCCCACTTTCTCCTCAGCCCTGCCAGGAAGGGCTCTTCTTGTCCCCTCGAGCCCCGCTCCTCCCCCTCCCCCCACATACTCCACCCCCTTGGATCTTGAGATCCTTTTTCTCCTATGTCCCTTCATCGGGCCCTCCTAAACCTCTGACACACCCGGCTGTCTCTAGATCTTGATTTGTATTTTACCCGCTCCGGAAAGCCCTCTTCACCTCTTGCCTCGCCTCACCTTTGAGCTCACAGCTCCCCGCTCTTGACCCACAACTCCACTCTCACTCCCTGTGTGTTCTTGCCCTTGTGCCTTAGTTCAGTTCCTACCAGAGAAGTGGGGAAGGGAGAAAGAGGCCTGTGGCCTGGGGTGAGAGGGCCCCTCCCCACTGCCCCTGCCCCCCCTGCTCTCCCTGCTGACCCTCCACCAATAAAGGAGTCATTGCTTTGACTTGGCTTTCTGTTGAGTTTACTTTCAATTTCGTTTCTTCTGAGGAGCGGAGGGGCCCACAGCGTGTAAGGTCAGATCTTCAGGTTGGGGTACAGAGATTGCAGAGCCAAACAGGCAAGGCTAGAGCAATGCTCTGGTGTAGGATAAGCCATCTGTACACCAGGAACATGCCTACTTTCTGCCGTTGTTACCAAAGTTGGGGCCACAGCCTGTACCTTAATAAATCAAGTCATATTTATTCAGCACGGCCCACACTGGGAAGACAGACCTGAGGAGTCCCCGGATTTCTTTGTCTCTCTTCACAGTGTGGCCAAAGTGAATACATCTTGTTTGGTTTGGGAGTCTTTGCTGCCATTTGTTGTTTCGTTTTGTGTTTTGGCGTTTCTGAGACAGGATCTTCCTATGGAGAGTTCCAGGTTGTCCTGGAACTCACTATGTATCCCGGGCTGCCCGGAACACACCGAGCTCTGCCTGCCTCTGCCTGCCTCTGCCTGCTGAGTGCTGAGATTGAAGGTGTGGCTAACTGTGCTGTTTTAATTGGCTTCTTGAGGATGGCAGCCACACACTTCTTAAAATAATTATATATATGAAAGCTATTGGCTTTTATTTCTAATTATGTGTCTGGGTGTCTGGAAGGCAGAAGCATCAGATCCTCTGGAGCTGGAGTTGTCAACCAGCCACGAGGGCGCAGGGACCTGAACTTAGATCCTGGCTCCTAACTCCTGGCTCCTAACTACTGAGCCATGTCCCCAGCGCCCTAAAGTTAAGTTCTTGGGGTACAAATGGGGACCCTAAGTTTAGTAACACCCAAGCCTGTCTGCCTGTCTCACGTCAGTTCTGTGACTCTCTCAGTGAGGTGTCTACGTGTGTGTCTACACCCCTGAGCACCTTAACTGGGTTCTGAGTCTCTCTACATCTCCATAAGGATTCCTGCATGACTCCAGCTGTCACCTTCTGTCCCCCTCTTTTGCCCTTCAGTGTAGCTGCCCCCACCCACCCCACCCACCCCTGGTAAATGAAACAGGAACAACAAAGGGAAAAGATCTGGATGGTCATCACAGACTTCCAATACTCAGGGGACTCAGAACAGGCCTGGGTGTGACCATGGGGCCCCTGAGGGTGAAGCCAGACTCCTGGCCTGGTGCTGCTTGTCACCCCACCTAGGCTATGCACGGAGGACTCCTGAGTCGCTAGCGGCGGGTGGGGGCGGGGGCCTCCTTCATCTGGGAACGTCACCCAGTCAAACTTCCCCTCTCAGCCACACAGGAAGCTGAGCACATCAAGCGCCCAGCCCCAAGCAAGCACAGGCTCCCCCAGCCCCAGGAGCCCTTGGGGAAAGGGCCCACCTGGGCCAGCCTTTCGGACACCATGGGATCCACGGAGAAGTAAGAGCTGTCTCCCCCATCCCATCCGGTGCAGCAAGACTGCCAGGCAAAAAACAAAACTCATGGTAGCTGGGGGCTTCGGGAGGGAAGGGCCCAGGAAGTGCAGCCACCCACTGGGGTGGCCTCAAGGGGACCTGCCCCAGCCACGCATGGTCCCTCTTCAGTTTTCCTGGCTCTGGATCTGTGTAATGAAGACAGGGACTTCAGGAGTGTGGCGTCCCAGTAAGGGCGGTGTTCTAGGAAGGTGGTTTCCAGGAGGGGTGGTCGGTAGTGAGGTGTAAGAGGGTGTGCCCGGAGACAGTGTGGTAACCTTGGGGGAGGGCTCATGGGAGCCTTGTGTCCATACAGTGAGATGCTGCTGGTGCCCGTGTCTGGGTGGTGTGGGGAACCGGATGGGCTAGGGCGTGGGCAAGCCAGTCACCTCCCGTGGCTTCTGAAAGCTAAGCTGCCGGTCAGCGCTCAAAGGCGCAGGGAGAGAAGAGACAGGACTCACTGCACACACCTGAGACACTGCAGCTCTACTCCACAGACTCGAGGCACGGGCACCAGAGAGAATCACAAGTTTGTTCTCTTTACACAAATGCTTTTCATGCAGACACACCATCACAGGCAGAGGTGGCCCCTTCCCATCTGTCTCCTCCTGTGCTCGCTCTCTCTCCCTCTCTTCCTCTCTCCCTCTCCTTCCCTCTCTCTCCCTCTTCTCTCCCTTCCTGTCCCTCCTTCTCTCCCTCTCTCTCTCTCTCTCTCTCTCTCTCTCTCTGTCTGTGCCCTCAGTCTCTCCTCCCTCTCTTTTCTCTCTCCCTGCTTTCTCTCTCCTCTCTCTGTATCTATCTCTCTGTCTTTGGAAACAGGATCTCAGTGTGTAGCCCTCATCAACCTGGAACTCATCTGTAGACCAGGCAGGCCATGAACTCACAGAGACCCGCCCTCCTTTGCCTGGGGTTCAAGGTATGGTCACCATGCTGGTTTCTGCTCTCTTTTCTCTTCACTTCTCCCCACCCTCATCCTCCTGCAGCATTCATACCCGGTTCCACCCCTCAGGGTGCCCACACCAACACACCTAGTCACACACATGTGCAAAATAGGGAGCACACAGCAAAAGCACAGATGCAAGACTCAGAACACACACACATACGCAATCACACACTCACAGACACACACCTGCTAAAGCTCCCTCATGGTCCACAGGAGGCATCCCCCTGCCATGTTTGACTGGTTCTTCGAAGCCCGCCGTCCCCACTCCCTGGAGGAGGGTAAGATGGGACAGCTGGGGCAGGAGAGGTGGAGGGAGGGTGTGAGGCCTGGAGCTCAGCACCTGGCTCTCCCTGCAGATCCCCGAATCCTGTGGCAGTTCCCCCCGGACGTCCAGGAACAGGTACTCAGAAGCCATCCAGGCCCCACCCAGCATGAGGGACTGTGTGGGCCTCAATCTCCAGGATCTCCAGGAGGCCAGCATGAGTGATGTGTTGACACTTCTTCCCCTCCGCAGGAAGCCATGCAGATGGTGCCCAGGTTCTGCTTCCCTTTCGACGTAGAAAGGTATGGAGGGGACGGAGGGGGGATCAGAGGCTTTGGGGACTGTAGGCAGGACCCTGACAGCTGGAGAACTGTAGGCACAGGGGCTCAGGGACCCAGAGACCCAAGAGTTAAACGACATGGGAGGCTGTGCCTAGAGGGGGACTCAGAGTGTGAGCTGTGCACCCAGGTGAGGGCCTGCGTGGGTGCCAGAGGCTGACCTCTGGGGTCATTTTCAGAAGCCAGCCAGCTTTTTCTGTGTGCTCCGTTTGCCAGCCCTGCGCTGGTTAGTTTGCTTTTGTGTTTTAGATTTCTGTCCCGTGGGGGGGAGTATTTTTCCCCACTGTGTGCCACATGCATGCCTGGTGTCTAGGGGGCTCAAATGAGGGCATCAGATCCCCTAGAACTGAACTTACGGTTGGGAGATCGTGTGGATACAGGGAACTGAACTCCGGTCCTCTGTGGGAGCGGCTAGGACTCTAACCGCCGGGCCATCTCTCCAGTCCCTGTACACACACTCACCTTGTTCTTTGAGACAGAGTCTCTTTCACTGGCTTGCAGGTCTCCAAGGAGGATGTACTGGCCATTGCGCTCCAGGGCCTTGATGAGTTCACGTCCCTGGGTCTGGGACCAGATTTAATTTTATTCTATTGTGTTTAGTGTGTGTGTGTGTGTGTGTGTGTGTGTGTGTGTGTGTGTGTGATGGTGGCTGTGCCTGTGCCTCAGGACCCAAGTCCACCGTCAGAGGATAGCTTTGTAGAGTTGGTCCTTTCCTGCCACCACGGGGGTCTCCGGAGCCTGGACCCACACGGCCAGGCTTGCATGGGAAACACCTTTTCCTGGTGAGCTACCTCCCTGGCCTCCAGATTGTCTTTCTTTTCCAAGACGGGTCTGGGAATGGAGCCTGGGTCGTCAGTCTTGTAGGGCATGCGCCTCAGCGGTGCAAGTATGAACTCGGCCTCCAGGACTCAAGAGTTCCTGACTCCTGGGACCCCACCAGCTCCTGCACCAAGCCACCAAAGAAACATTCACAGATGCATTCACAGGCGACCTTGGGGGTGTGGGCTGGGTAAGGAAGTAGGAAAATAGATGCCGGGGTGTGCACCAGAGCCTTTCCCCTCCAGGGAGCCGCCTGGCCCTGCTGCCCAGCATTTCACCTTCGCCCTCACCGACCTGGCGGGTAACCGAAGATTCGGCTTCTGCCGCCTGCGAGCCGGGGCCTGCAGTTGCCTGTGTATCCTGAGGTGGGTGGCACGAGCAAACGCTGGGCCTCGAGGTGAGGAGAGGAGAGACAGATGGGAGCAAACGCTGGGCCTCGCGGTGAGGAATAGACACCACAACTGGTCCAAGGAGTGAGAGACTGCCAGGGGTGCAGCCCAAAGTGGGAAAGCTGCGCCCCTCCCCCTCCACGAGGCTGAGGGCCATGTGGGCAGTGGAGGTGCAGCGGCCAGAGGGAGCAGAGTGAAGCGGCGCCTCCTGGACAGACTGACGCTCAAGAACACAGAAGCACATCATTAAAACAGACAAAATCCCGGCATGGCGGGGGGGGGGGGGGGCTCCTGAGGTCCACCCCTAGCCGAGGCGCTGTTAGCAGCTGATGGCTGCTGGGACAGGGTGGCCGGTTCTCTCTCTCTCTCTCTCTCTCTCTCTCTCTCTCTCTTTCTCTCTCTTTCTCTCTCTCTTGGCATGCTCTTGCACACTCACAGATGCCACTAAGTGGTCTCCGGTGGGGTTTTGTTGGGGTGGGAGGTAGGGGTAGAGTGAGACAGGGTCTCACTCTATAGCCCTGGCTAGCCTGGGTCTCACCCTGTAGACCAGGCTGGCCTCAAATTCCCAGAGATCCTCCTGCCTCCAGGTGCGCGCCGCCACACCTGGCTGATTCGGTAGGTTTTTAAAAACATCCAATGAAGTTGAGAGGGGAAAGCTGGGGTAGGGGGTTGAAGAGGTGGGGAGTTATGGATCAAAACCCAGGGTGCACACGTGAAAACACAAACTATCAGCTGGGAGGTGGCGGCCCACATCCTCGAGCCCAGCTCTGTGAGTTCAAGGCCAGCCTGGTCTACAGAGCGAGTTCCAGGGCTGCACAGAGAGACACTGTCTCGGAAAAACAAGCGAACACCACTAGATGGAACAATACAAGGCACATCGTCTGCATTGGTGGAATTCTCAACAAGCCTGTCAAAGTGTCGGATCACTGAGGCACTTTCCAGACCCTGACGCTCGGCTCCGGCTTCTCTCTCTGCAGCCACCTTCCCTGGTTTGAAGTGTTCTACAAGATTCTCAATGTTGTCGGCGACCTCCTAGCCCAGAACCAGGTGAGACAGCCCCACCCTCAGCCCCACCCGGCCTCACCCGAGCTCAGGCCGATCCCAGGACCCCACAGTCGGCCCTCGGGGACTAACTCGTCCTGCACCCCTCAGGTCTCAGAGGCCGAAGAGCTCCTGCAGAACCTGCAGCACCACCGCCTTCCGGGACCTCGGGTTTCAGGGGTGAGTAGCTCCCAGGTCAGCGGGCTGGCCTCCCGCGGGCCAGGCGCCGGCCAGGCGGGGCACCCCACCGTGACTCCTGTCCCCAGGAGAGCAGCCCCGCCGTCTGGAGCGACCATGGCGCCTTGCCTCCCGCCCTACTGAACAGCAAGCTGGTGAGTGGAGCTGCCCGGTCCCCGGCCCTCCCCGCCGGTCAGCGCAGCCGGGCTGAGGCCTCTCCCCGGTGTCCCCCGCCAGCTTTCTTGTTTCGTGGCCCCGGATTCTGCCGGCCTGCCGTCTATTCCCGAGAACGTGAGTAAGGAAGACGGGCGTGGACCGCAGAAGGGGGACTGGCAGGTCCTGGCCGGCTGGCCCTCACCCAGCCGCTGTCCCTCAGAGGAATCTCACCGAGCTGGTGGTCGCGGTGACCGACGAGAACATCGTGGGGCTGTTCGCGGCGCTGCTGGCTGAGAGGAGGATCCTGCTCACGGCCAGCAAGCTCAGCACTGTGAGGAGGGACACGGGGTGGCCCTGAACGCCCCACCCCTGTGGAGGCGGCCCAATGGCTCCAACTCAGCGGTGGCACAATCGAGTACAGGCCCAACCACTGAGGACCAGACCTGGCCTAGCTCTGCCCCCTCTCCCCAGCCGGGGGGGGGGGGGGGGGGGGGGGCGCCCGGGGGGGGGCCCCCCCCCCGCGGGGGGGGGCCCCGGGGGCCCGCCCCCCCCCCCCCCCCCCCCGGGGGGGGGGGGGGGGGAGGCTTGGCTCAGCAGGTGGAGCCCTCCCCCAGCAGGCACGAGGCCCTGGGTTCCATTCCCAACCTGGCATCAACCAGGCCTGGCAGGCCTGGGGGCATACACCTGCATTCGCAGCACTGGGAGGCTGAGGCAGGAGGATCAGAAGTTCAGGGAGGTCACCCTGAGATATCGAGTTTGAGGTGAGCCCGATACATGAGACCCACCAGGTCTCAATAAATGAATGAATAAATAAATAAATAAGAACTTAAAAAACCTCCTAGGGCCTGTGAGATGGCTCAGAGAGCAACGGTGCCTCCAGCCAAATTTTGAGGATCTGAGTTCAATGCCCAGGGCACACATGGTGGATAGACCGCACTCCTACAAGTTGTCCTCCAAATCTGCACAAGGGAGCACACGCACGCACGCACGCACGCACGAAAACTCACCCACAAGGAAGCATAATTTTGTTTTTTTATTTCTAGTTCCACTTGTACGTTCTGCAGTATAAAGGTTTTTTTTATGTGTGTGTCTGGATGTGGGTGTCCTCAGAAATGACCCCCTGGAGGTTAGAGGCAGCTGTGAGCCACCATGCCGTTGGGGGAACCCCGAGCCTGTGGAAGGGCTGCCAGAGCCATGACTACCGAGCGCCATCTCTCCTGCCCCTCAAGTGTGTTTCTGTGTGTTTGTGGGTTTTGTTTTTCTTTTGTTTTCAAGGCAGGGTTTCTCTGTGTGGCCCTGGCTGTCCTGGAACTCACTCTGTAGACCAGGCTGGCCTCAAACTCAGAGATCCTCCTGCCTCTGCCTCCCCAGTGCTGGGATTATAGGCCAGAGGCAACACACGGAGCCGAGTTTATTGTTATCTGTGCCCATGGAGCTGTAACGCCAAAATCTTGGTCTCCACTTCCTTCCTAAGGGGGTCTGAGTTCCAGCCAGTTCCCCAGCATGGGTGGAGGGGACAGGCCAATCCGGAGCAGTCTCAGTGATCCAGGACCCTGAAGCCAGCAGGGCAAGCTAAGGCCTGACTCTCTCCTCTCCCTCCTCTCACCCCCAGCTGACAGCCTGCATTCACGCGTCCTGCGCTCTGCTCTACCCCATGCGCTGGGAGCACGTTTTGATTCCTACGCTGCCCCCGCACCTGCTGGATTACTGCTGGTGAGAGAGAGGGTGAGGGGTGAGGACGGGCAGGCAGAGCCTGGAGTATGGCAGGCCTTTAATCCTAGCACCCGGGAGCCAGAGGCAGGAGGATCTCTTTGAGAGAGACCCTATCACAAAGAGTTTAAAAATGGAGAGTTCTGGGCTAGCCTGGGCTACGTGGGGCACGGACAGGCGACAGGCTTGGGGTGAAAGGCATACGTCTGCCTCTCCACAGCGCACCCATGCCCTACCTCATCGGAGTCCACGCCAGTCTCGCGGAGGTAAACGCTGAAGCACCCCGAGGCTGGCCCTGGGGAGGCAGTCGCTTTCCGGCCAGTCCCTCGGAGCCCGTGCTCTCTCCTGCAGAGAGTTCGGGAGAAGGCCCTGGAAGAGGTCGTGGTGCTGAACGCCGACTCCAACAGTCTGGAGACGCCCTTCGACGACGTGCAAGCCCTGCCGCCAGATGTGGTCAGTGCCCCGGCTTCCCTCCCCCCTCCCCTGCCCAGCTGCAGCCTCCACCCCAGCCCAACCCGCGGTCTCCCCGTGTCAGGTGTCCCTGCTGAGGTTCCGGCTGAGGAAAGTGGCCCTGAGCCCCGGGGAAGGGGTGTCCCGTCTCTTCCTGAAAGCCCAGGCCCTGCTGTTCGGAGGCTACCGCGAAGCACTTGTCTGCACTCCGGTGAGCAGCTGGAGAGGGCGGTGCCCGGGACAGGTCCCTCCCGGGATAGGTCACAACAGTACGAGCACCTCGTGCTTTAGGGTCTCAGGTGGCCGAGGCTAGCCTCACACTCAGTATGTAGCCCCGGATGAGTTTGAACTCTCGGACCTCGTGATTTTTTTTTTTCCCTGAAACTGGGTGTCTGTAGCCCGGGCTGCCCTGAGCTCATTACATAACCCAGCAGCAACGCCCCTGCCTCAGCCTCTCACACTATCAACGTTATTTAACGTTGACCTTGAGGTCCCGCTTGGGGTCAGGTATACAGTAGGCGCCCGATCAGTGCTTGCGGGGTAGCTGTGAAGTGGGAAAGAAGATGGTGGGAGTCAGGAGAGCCGCAGGAACCCCGGTGGGGAATCCTTCTTCCAGGGTCAGCCAGTGACCTTCAGTGAGGAAGCTTTCCTGGCTCAGAAACCTGGGGCGCCCCTGCAGGCCTTCCGCAAAAGAGCGGTGCACCTGCAACTGTTCAAGCAGGTGAGCGCGCGGGGGGCGGGGCCGGGGCGCCGGGGCGGGGCTCCGGGGGCGGGGCCGGGGCTCCGGGGGCGGGGCTGGCTGCGCCGGGGCGGAGCCGTACGCCTAGGGGGCGGGGCCGGGGCGCCGGGGCGGGGCCGGTCGCCTCGGAGGCGGGGCCAGGGCGGAGCCAGTTGCGCCTGGGGCGGGGCCGGTCGCCTCGGGGGCGGGGCTGCCGGTCCCCGGGGGCTTCGCCACGTTGGATACGTAGTCTCTAGCCCGGTCTCCTGAGGCCCGGGCGCCGCGAGGGAGGGTCCTTCTAAGTCTTCAGGAACGGCGGGTACCCGTGTCTGATGCTCTGTCCCACCTCAAGTTCATCGAAACCCGACTGGAGAAACTCAACGCTGGAGAAGGCTTCTCGGACCACTTTGAGCAGGAGATCGTTGCCTGCTGCGGGGCTTCCTCAGGTGAGCGCCAGGGCTCCGCCCCAGCCGCTGCCCCAGCCGCGGCCGGCCTCGGCCATCGCAGCTCTCTCCCTTCCTCCCAGGCGCCCTTCGATCCTACCAGCTCTGGGTAGAGAGTCTTAAGGTAAGAAAAGCAAGCCCCTGTCCTGTTTGTAACCAACCTCATCACCTCGAGGCTTACCACAGTCTCCAGCAAGGGGGTGGGTTAAGCTCGAGGAGGCACAGAGAGGAAAGGGGCTGCCCGCAGAGGAAGACCCGAGGCGGGAAGCGGAGTGTGGGGTCCAGCCCCGGTGACCTCAGGGCCCAAGCCCCTCCCCTTTGGTGCTTCCTCACCCAACCCCCTACAGAAAGGCAGCGATGCCCTCCTGCATTCAGTGAAGACTAAAACCCGGCCAGCCGTCAGGAACGTTTACCGATCGGTGAGACTGGGGCTGCCGTGACCACGGGGAAGGGGCGGAGGGGGTCTCTGCTGAAGGCGCCTGTGTGCACGTGCATGCAGAAGCCCCAGCCACCTTGGGATTTGTGAGGGAGGGTCTCACCAAGTGGCCTGGCTGTCTTTGAACTCGGGGCTACAATGCCTCTGCCTCCTGAATGCTGGAAGTTTGTGCCCCCACCATACCCAACAGCTTTGGAGGTTTTGGGGGGTGAGGGTGCATTTATTTATTTTAGGCATGTGTGTCACGGTGCATCTGTGGAGGATCAGAGGACAGCTTGTAGGAGCTGGTTGTTAGCTGGGCGGGTGGTGCACGTCTTTAGTTCCACCAGCCCAGTCAGGAGGTGGAGGCAGGCAGATCGTTGTGAGTTTGAGGCCAGCCTGATCTGAAGGGCGAGTCCCAGGACAGCCGGACTATACACAGAGAAACCCCATCTCAAAAACAACAGAGTTGCTTGTGTGTTTGCACCGTGTGGGTCCCAAACGTGGCACTCGAGTTGGCAGGCTCCCCAAAGTCACCTTACCTTGTTTCCTAAGACAGGGTCATTCGCTGAAGCTGAAGCTCATTGCCTAGGCTAGCCTGGCTGGCCAGTGCTCCAGGGAAACACACACACACACACACACACACACACACACAAGCAATAGCCTAACAGGCCCATGCCACCACACTCAGGAAGAATTTGACTGACTGACCCTTTCTCCAGCCCTACAGAAGGGTCTCGAGTATTCACAGAGGATGGGACCTTTTGATCCCAACAGGCATTGAATATGCACTTTAAAATACTGAGATTTTTTTTCCTATGCTTAGTTTTCATTTACAGTTTCCGTTCTTAGTGTGTGTTGTGTGAGTAGGTGTGTCTACTAGCCTGCTTGTATATGCTCCGTGTGTGGAGGCTGGAAGAGGGTGCTGGGCCCCTGGAACTAGAGATCCTGGCAGTTGTGAGATGCCTGAACCTGAGTTCTCGGCCAGAGCAGCAAGCACTCTAACGAGCCATCTCTCCAGCCCCACCATACGCAGGTGCCGGGCTGTTTGTTTCTGAGGCAGGGCCCCACTAGGTGGCCCTGGCTGGCCTGGAACTCAACATGTAGACCAGGCTGGCCTCCAGTTCTGCCTTCCAGGGGATTAAAACTGTGGCTAGCACTCAAGGTCCATATTCATTACTGTTAGAATTCCTTCCTGCCCATTTTAATTGGGCAGCCAGACTACCAGCAAGAAAATCAGGAGTCAAGACCAGCCTTGGCCACGTAGAGAGAGCTTGAGGCCTGTCTGAGACTACTTTCTCAAAAAACAAACCCTGAGTCTGGGGTCCTAGCTCTTCCGTACAGCCCTGGCTTTCACCACTAGTATCACATAAACTGGGCACAGTGGGACACACCTGTCACCAGCATTAGGGAGGGCCAGAGACAGGAGGAATAAAGGTCACCCTGAGTCACACCAGGAATGTGAAGGCAAGCCTGGCCTACATGAGAAAAATAAAGAAGGCTGGGCCTGGTGGCGCACGCCTTTAGCTCCAGCGCTTGGGAGACAGAAGTAGGCAGATCTCTAAAAGCTGGAAGCTAGCCTGCTCTACATGGCTGGTTCCAGGGCAGCCAGGTTACAGCGTAAGACTCTTGTCTCCAAACAGCTGGGTGGTTGATGGGCGGTGGTGGCGCATGCCTTTAGTCCCAGCACTCAAGAGGCAGAGGCAGGTAGATCTCCAAAGTTTAAGGCCAGCCTGGTCCACAATGTGAGTCCCAGGAGCCAGGGCCACACAGAGAAACTTTGTCTCAAATAAATAAATAATAGATAAATAAAATTTAATAATAAAAATTAAGGCTGGCAAGATGTTTCTTGCTGTTAAATTTGACAACCTAAGTTTGACCCCTAGAGCCCACGTGACAGAGAACCCACTCCCCAGGTTGAACTCCGCCCTCCACGCACATTTGCCCTCTCTCCCAAATAAATACACAAATGAAACTAAAACGACTCCGACAGCCGAGATCCTTGTCACTTAGCTTCCATTCTTGATCGTTTTTGTCTGGAGCTCCACACATCCTTCAGACCAACCTTTACACTTCAGATCTGTCCACGCAATTTTAACCCTACACCGTGGTCAAACCTTTGGTTTATGGCAGGGCGACTCCCTCTAGGAATATTGTACATCAGTCAAAGGTGTAACACAGCTTGGAAGATACAAAGAAGGGTGGGGCTGTAGAAAACAGCTGTCCTAGGGACCAGGTCTGAGTCCTGTCACCTCAGAGCTAACGAACGCTGTGCTTGCTGGGCCATCGTTCTAGGCAAAGACTGGCTTGAAGGGCGTGCAGAGCCTGCTCATGACCAAGGTAAGATGGCCCAGGTACGTTCTCCACCCATGGGTAATTCAGGGGAGCAGGGACGGTGTCCCAGCCCACACGTACATCCCTTTACAGGATGGAGACTCTGGCCTGCAGAGAGGGGGGTCCCTGAGAACCCCCAGCCTCGTCAGCCGCTCAGATCGCCTGCAACAGCGCTTGCCTATCAGCCAGCACTTTGGGCAGGTGAGGATGCCCACCTGGCACCAGACATCACAAGCGCGCACATACGCACACACTCTGAGGAGACCCACGCTCCACCATCACACACCGCAGATTCCCGCCAAACCCCCCCCCCAATCATCCCCAGTGTTCACCAAACAACCTTAATTTGAGGCTGAAATGTAGTGCGCCTGCTACACAGCCAAGGATGACTTTGGACTCCTGCTCCCGCACACAGCTTAGACGCTGCTAGGGACCCACGCCAGGGCTCTATGACGACTGAGTTACCTCTTGGTTTGGGGGCTTGTGTTTGGTCGGTTGGTCTAACCAGCCTGGTCTCAAACTCACAGAGATCCACCCGAGCCCTTGTTTTTAGGAATCTCATTATGCAACCAGCCAGGACTCAAACTCGCAGTGTTTCCCCTGCCTCAAGCTCGAGTGCTGAGCTGACAGACCTGCAGCCCAGCCGGCTCTTTCCAATTCAAGCTGGAAAGCCCCACCCCTGGCTTCTCAGCAGCCTGAGGCAGCTCCCAAGGCCCCTCCCCACTCTTCCCCCCTTCTTTTTCAGAACAGGCCCCTCCGCCCTAGCAGGAGACTCAAGCAGGAAGGGGGAACTTCTTCCGAACCCCTGGGAGAGCGGTAATTGAAGCTGTCAAAGTTGGAGGAGCCAGGGTCACAGCCGATGAGGGGTGTGTTCAGGCTCTGGAGTGGCCTGATGCAGCCCTCGGTGTTACCCTCAATCCAGGAGCCCTGCCGCGAGCCCGAGGGACACTCAGAGTCCCTGGGCAGAGGAAACTCTAGATGGCAGCTTTCTGGGATCTGGAGAAGAACTGGATCTGCTGGGCGAGATTCTAGACAGTCTGAGTGTGGAAACCAAGAGCGGTGGCCAGCTGAGAGCCAGCCAGAGTCTGGGCTGCTGTCAACAAGAGGCCTCAGAGAGCTGCTTCAGCCTGGTAAGAATCTCCCCCAGCCCCCTCCACCTGCCTGCTTCTTCTCCACCTGACATCAACTACACCCCCCAATCCTGCTCCGCCCAGCCTGACATCCCAGCAAGGTCACCATGGCAACCGGAGGAGGATGATCGATCCCCAGAAGCGCAGCTCTGGTCCCTCTCAGGAGACCTGTCATCTCTGCAGGACACCCCATCTTTTGAGGATGTAAGCTACTCAAAGAAACGCTGTTCTCAGCCGCCCGCAGACATCTCCTTGCCACCTGCATCTTTAGCTACTTCAGCTGATCCCGGCAGCCAAGGGGACCCCAAGCCCTCTCCTCCCACAGAGCTGGATTCTAGAACTCCACATAGCCCTTGCTCCAGACTCCCCGCAGTCCCCACTCAGCCCAGTCCTCCAGAAAGCACCCAACATCTCCTCCCCACAGAGCCCAGCCCTGACGCTGTCTGGACGTTACAGTCCAGTCAGTCTCCCGCACACACCAATTCTCCAGAGAGCCCCAGGAAACAGCCTCCCCAGGTCCTGCTGAACCAGGCTCAGGTCCAACCCCTCAAGGAGCTGGGGGCTCCCACTTCTTACATCGCTCAGATAAGCAACCCGCAAGGACCCCAGGCCGGGCAACCCCGAGTTGCTGATCTGAAGAAGCATTTTGAAAAATAAGGTTGGGGACCCCAGCTCTCAATAAAGCTGATCTTGTTTCCTTTGACGAGTTTAACCTGAGGCCTTCTGTCAGCTCAGAAACCTACCTCATCAACCACCCTAAGCGACCTCTACGAATCTTTAAGGTTCACCTGAAGGCACCCCCCCACTTCCAGCCTGTTAGAACCCAAAAAAGCTTACAGTTCAAATCTAATTCATCTAAGCTAATGTTCCCACAAGGAAAAAAAAAAAAAAAAAAACACCTTTATTGTACCTTACTATCAATTTCATATAAATATATAAAAAGCGAGCAGCCCCCATCCTCCCTTGGCCTCAAAGTCAAGATCTTTGAAGAACTCTCTTTCCTTCTATTCTTAAGCACTGGGTGAGTCTGATTGCCCAGAGAGGTGCTGCCTTCCCCAAAGGTCACACAGCAAGTAAGGGGAGATGGATGACAGGGAAGAAGGGAGGAGCTAGATGGGCAGGCAGCCCCTCACTGGCTCCTTGGAGTCCTGGGGGGCCCGGGCCTCAGCTGCTGCGTGGGAGAACTGAAAGAAAGGACAGGAGGTTTGTTGGGCCTGCAGTCATGAGAGAAGACACAGCAGAGGCAAGATCACATGAGGTAAATGGTGAGGAGGTGAGGCCCCCGGCCCCCCAGCGTCATGCAGAGCCAAGCAGAGGCGGCATGCTGCACAGCCCACCAGCCGGTGCCCCAGGGCTCCCAACCCCGAGTTCTGCTGAGCCATCACAGCCTGGCACGTCTCCGGGGTGGCCACGGTGTGTCAGGGTGTACCAAGGCAGTCCCGGGTGGCAGTGGCGGTCTGTGGCCGACACCCCGGCGTTCAGATGAGCCGCTCCTCCGGGGGCAGCTTGAGGTTGGGGGGTGGCGGAGCACGGGCACCCACCTGCTCCTCACTGCTGGGCCGGTAGGTGCCCTCTGTCTGCCGCTTCTCTCGGAGTTTCCGCACCAGCAGGAATAGCCCCACCACTATGATGAGGGCCCCCAGGATGGAAAAGACCACGATGATGGCCACAGTGGCCTCTGGAGACTGTAGAGACGGGGACAGTGGACAGGCGTGACCCACCTAAGACACCCACCGGGGGTCACCCTGTCATCTCTCCGGGGTTTCAGAGCTGTCCTCATTCCAAGAAACAAACCCCCTCAGCTCCTCCCAAACTGGTACCTTTGCCCCATCCTCCCACACCTGCCCACTCCAGGCTACAGGAGAGAGTATGGAGCTCCAGTCAGATACAATCTCTTGCTCACCCTTCTTCTTCCTTTTTGTCTTTTGTGTTGTCTGTCTGTCTGTTCAGAGTCTTGTGTGACCCAGGCTGGCCTTACTATATAGCTAAGGGTAACTCAGAGCTTCCTACCTCCTGGTCCTCCACAGTGCTGGTCCTGAGGGGACAGGTGTGTGCCACCACACCCAGCCTTTTCCTAGTCCAATGGTCTCATCTATACCCCAGGCTGGCCTTGAACTGTGGCAATCCTCCTACCTCGGCCTCCTGAGTGCTGGAGACAAGTGTGTATCACCAAGCCCACCAGGCAAGGCGAGGTGGGCGGCTGGTTTTCAGAGACAGGGTCTCATAGTTGCCCTGGCTAGCCTGGAATTCAGCATGGTGACCTCTCTCCCTGCGTGTATGGACTACCATACCCAGCAAGACACAATACTCTGTCCAGCCTTATATAGCGAGGTCCCGCTCCCCTCTGTCTGGGACGCTAAGGGACCCCACTGCTGCAGCTTTGTGGGTTCAGGGCTTGCCCGGCCTAAGACCCTGGGTGTGACTCCCGGCCCCCCAAGTTTCCAGCATGATTGGTGCACACATGTCCACTCAGCAACTCGGATATAAAGGTGGAAGGATCAGGAATTCAGGGTCGTCTGGCTAGTTCGAGGCTGGCTTGAGCTACACCAGACCCCATTTAAAAAAAAAAAAAATCAGGGCTAGGGCTGGGGTGTAACCCGATTGCTGAGCATATGCCTAGCACACACGAGGCCTTAACAACAGTAACAACGTCTCTCTACTCGCCCCACTGCTCTGGTCTCTAACACACCCGCTCTTACCGACTGCACCCTCCCTACTCACCAGGCCCCCACCGGAACTGGAGTCCGGGGTCTGAGTCGTGCCATTTGTGAAAGAGTACAGTGCTGTGGAACAGAGCGAGAGAAGAGAACTCCATGCCAGGGTCTTCACCAGGCGTCGCTCACACACTATTCAGCCAGGCCTGGTAAACTCCTTCCAAGACTCCAGCTGGAGCTGGCAAGGGCGGCCAGGCCACCCACTTCACCCTCAGGTGACCACGCTCGGCCAGCAGGGGGTAATCCGGCCACCTAAGGCCACCACTGTTAGCCCATTACACTAGCTGGCCTCCACCACCATCGCTCCGGCCCAGGGCCCTTAAGGACCTGGGCAGGGCGGATCCTTTCCCTGGAGTGTGTGACTCACTGGGCCCCCCCACCCGCAGGCTCCCGAAACTGGAACCGGAGAGACAGAGGGAAGGTCTGGCTGGGTCACACCTACGAAGGGCCAGCCCCGTCAGCTGGGCCTTCAGGCCTCCTTCAGGTCCCCTGGCGGCTTAAGACTCTCAACTATGCAGACTCAGGTGCCCGGGCCTCCCCTCCTCCACCTCCGGGCTTTGCCCACAACCCCCAGCTCCCAAATTCCACAAGACTTAAGGACTCAGGAATTCTGGGCTGCGGGTGCCGGGTTTACCTGACGGCAGAGCGCTTGCCTAGAGTGCAGGAAACCGTGGGTTGGAGCCCCACAGAGACGCAGAAAGAAAAAAGAAAAGAAAAAGTTGGGAGGTGGGTTCAGCCCTGACGCTCTCGGACTCCTTCCCCGCACACATTCCAGTCCTCAGACCTTTCCCCCTCTCTGGTCCCACCTCGGCCCGCCAGGGACGGTACCTACTTGCTGGGCTCCAGGCGGCGGGCAGCACCGGCAGGCCCCCCGGGCCTAGGGTCGCCATGAGCTTGGGCGACGAGTTGGTGGCGCCAAAGACAGGCCTTCCCCGGGACGCCGATTCCTACCGCATCTTGGGTGGAGCAGGGCACCTGTGCCCCGGGACCTGAGGACCAGACCGGAGAGAGGTCGCAGCGTGGACCGGGGCCGGACTCGGTCAGGCCCCAGCGACGGGCAGCAGGTCGGAGTGCGCTCCCGCGCGCGGCGCCGAGGGTCAGAGATTAAAGATTAACTCCCGGCGCGCTCTCGGGCCAGGGGACGGACAGGCTGCGCCCCGCCTCCCTACCTGGCCCGGGGGTCCGAGAGAGGCGTCGGCAGCCCCGGCCCCGGGTGCCCAGCGGGAACCCCGATCGCTGTCCTTCGCCCGGTCGCTCCGGATCCCACCAGCCCCGCCTGCTCACGTGACCCGGAAAGTTTAGTCACCCACCTAGGCGAGGAGCGCACTTCCGGCTTGTGCACCTGAGCCCGGCGGAGGGGCGGGGCCGGGGGCGGGGCCGCGCCGCGGGAGCACCTGCGCCGGGAGCATCTGCGCCCGGAGCCGCCGGGAGCCGCGCAGGGCGGAAGCCAAGCGGGGTGAGAGCCGCCCGGCTGGGCTCCCTCTCCGCCCTGGCGAGCAGGCGCAGGGGCGTGGCGGCACGCCGGGAAGCGCACACCTGCAGGGGCGGGCCCCGACGGTGACACTGCCGCAGCCCCACCCGAGGTCAGCCCTGTGCCCTGAGCGCTCCGGAGGCTCGAGGCCAGCCTGAGCGAGAGCGCGTGGCTCAGGGCCGGAGCCCACGGCCAGGATCACCTAGCGCAGACCCCTGCCTGGGAAGCCTCAGCGCCGGGTCCCACCCGGGACAGCTGGACACAGAGCGCCTGTGCTTGAGGAAGGCTCGCAGCCGCCCTGAAGAACAGCCATCTAGCTCCGCCTGTCAGGGAGGCGTCTGTGGAAAGGCCTGGTTCGGGGCACCTTTATGAAGAAGCGGCTATGCCCTGTGGCATCCACAGAGAACCTCTGGCAGAGGGGCAGGGCGGGACTGTCACCCGCTCACCCTACTCCTAGGGGCGCAGCCTGGGTGGATGCCACCTAACCTCTGAATGTACCTTTGCGTAAAAGGTGGTCATGAACCGGATATGACGGCGCAAGAGTTTCAGCCCCAGCAACTGGGAAGCTGGAGCAGAACTGCTGCGAGTTCGAGACCAGCTAGGCTACAGAGCGGGACCTAGGCTCAAAAGAACAGTATCGACAACAAATTACCGTAGAGCGGAAGCTGGGGTTCGGGGCTGAAATGCCTGAGTGTGTACAAAGCCCTGCGACAGCCGCTGTAGTGGAATACGCCTCAGATCCCGCGGAAGCAGGTGCAGCTCTGTGAGTTCCAGAGCAGGCCGGCCCACACAGTGACTTCCGGGGCTAGAGAGACCTGCCTAACACAAAACCAAAACCCCAGCATAAACGAGCAAGGCTCCGCTCTGGCCCTGAGTGGGAACTCGGGCTAGGATTTGAACCTCTGCTCCCTCCACTGCAGCGTGGGAAGGGCTGCCGCCACCTCCCCGCCTCCCAGGGCTTGGGCCGGGACGGTGCTGAGCACCGAGGGGAGGGCCGGCGTGGGCAGCGCTCTCCGTGTAAGCTATTTGTTATTCGCGGTCAAGCGGGCGCCCTTTCCCCCTGACGGTGAGACGCCAAACTGCACCCGAAACTTGTGGGCGGGACTTCAGCAGGTGCACCCGCCGTCCCCGGCCGGGCCCCGCCTCCAGAGCCCCGCCGCCTTCCGATCTTTATCCTTAGTGGCGCCAGGGACCCGAGCAGGGCTGCAGAAAGCAGCCTCCTGAGAGTCTCAACGGGGGCGCGGCCCCTTTAAGAACGCCCAGCGGGCTGAGGGCTGCGGGACGGGAGGCCGCGGCAGGTCAACCGGGAAGCCCCGCCCACGTGGAGCGGACGGGCGCAGCTCAGGCGGCTCTGACCAATAAGGATTTGACTTTGCAGCCGCGCCGCACGTTGACCTTTCGTTTCTCTCTCCGAGTGTCACCCAGAAAGGGAGGCGCGCGGGTGAAATAGAGTGTTCGGGAGGGAGCGCGCCCCCCCCCCCACGTCGATCTTCTGTTTCTATCATCGACTGGGGAATCTGACTGGGAGCGGGCGGGCCAAAGAAGCTATTAAACTGGTTCAGAGTTCTAGTGTAGGCCTGGTAGAAGCAAAAACTCGAATTCCTGGTGAAGGTCCCCAGGAGAGGGAGGTCTAAATGAACGAGACTACAAATCCAATCCCTGACAATTCCCTGCTAAAGCTATTTAAGAACAAAGGGTAAACTGAGGCAAGCAGAATACCGACGTGGTTGCCTTTCCTAACATCCCAGGAATGAGTCGTCAGATGTGCAGCCCCAGAACCTCCTAGAATCCTTCCCCACGCCCCCTGCTCCGCCCCCGGCCCCCTCCCCCCAGTAATGCGGGTCGGAGGAGGAGAAGCAAGTTCTGGTGCGGGCGGGGACGACTAGCGTTTATCACTTCCAGCAAGTGCAGGAGCTCGGGCCCCCGCAGCGCAGAGGCTGCGGCGCGGGTGGTCGCGGGAGCTGGCCCTGTGGGGACCCCGGGGGGGAGGGGGAGCCGGAAAGCCCCCGCCGAGGCCGTCGCTGCGGGGCCTCCCCTCCCCCCCGGGCGTGCGCCATGCGAGGGGTCTCCGGCGACGCGGAGCGGCGGCAACGCTGGGGTCGCCTGTTCGAGGAGCTGGACAGCAACAAGGACGGCCGCGTGGACGTGCAGGAGTTGCGCCAGGGTCTGGCCAGGCTGGGAGGGGGCGATCCCGACCTTGCACATCAGGTACCACGGGCAGCGACCACTGCTGCGGGGCCCGCCCGCGCCGTCACCCGCGCCCCTGAACGCGTCGGTTGCAGCAGCCACAAGCTACCTGTTGGTTGGACACCCCCCCCCCCCAGCTCTGCCTGGGCTCCCCTCACCCTGTCTGCCCGCGGTCGGCCTAACGGCGTCCCGAGACAAGACTGCTAAGGCTCCAGGCCTGCAGTGGCTGCGGCTGCCAAGACCCGGAGTCCTCGTCTCCCCCCCTACACACCCCGGGAGGTGGGGAGGATGGACCGCAGAGCGGGACGCTTTCCCTTCCACTGCCCGGCGACACACCCTCAGCTCCTCTGCCCACAGCCCAAGGGGTGACCGCTGCCACCTGCAGGGAGCAAAACTTCCCCACCCTGCTGGGCACCGGAGCCGGAGACCCTACCCCTTTATTTACATTCCCTGCCAGCTCTCCCGGACCTGGCCGGCGGCCCCAGTCTGCTCCAGCCAGGGATTCAGTCCATCCGAGGCCACCCTGTCCCCACTGGGGTCCAAACTATGCTCTTTGAGCTGCGGGTGCAGCTCAGTGGTAAAGCGTTTTCCTGGCATGTGCAAAGGCCCTGGGTTCCAGCCCTAGCGTGGGAGGTGGCGGTGGGGCGAGGCAAGATCCGGCCCTTCCTTTGTGTGCCCCTCACCCCTGAGCCCCTAGCGGTGTCAGACCGATTGCGTTTTTTTGTTGACCTTGAGTGTAAGGTCCTACTTTTCAGGTGAGAATATAGAGGCCCGTGGCTATTGCCTTCCATCTGTTAGGCCCTGTAGGAACCAGGACTGATTCTAACAGCACCCTGCTCCCAGCCCCGGAGACTGCCAAGGAGACAGGGTTTTATAAGAAAGAGCTGGGGGGAGGGGCAAGTGTGGGCTACAAGGTGATGGGGGAAGAATCGGAGTTCAAGGTCATCCTCCAATACAAAGAATTCGAGGCTAGCCTGGGCTATGTGAGACCCTGCCTCAAGAAAGTGCCCATGCTTTCCAAGTCCCACTTCTATGACCTTGAGCTGCTTCTGTGACTTTGAAAAGTCCTCAGTCTGCCTACCAGGAAAACTGGGCAACACCAGATTCAGACTCTCACTGTGGCTTGGAGCATCTTGCTGAAAAGTGGGCCAAAGTCTCCTATCCCCCTTCCTTAAGGAGCTGGGGCTCTGAGTCCCTGAGGCTTGAAGCATATAGTAGCTACCCCTCTCACACACACACTGTGTGGGTGCGGTCTGCCAGAGTCCCCTGTGTCCCCTTCGTCTCCACTAGGGCATCTCCTCCGAGGGGGACGTTGATCCAGATGGTGGCCTCAGCCTGGAGGAATTCTCTCACTACCTGCAGGAGCGGGAGCAGCGCCTTCTGCTCATGTTTCACAGCCTTGACCGGAACCAGGATGGTGAGATGCGCTCCAGGCTGGGGGCTGGGCAAATGGGTTAGAACCAGCAGCGCTGGGGAGAAGGGGAGGGCCGCTTCTGACTCATGGGCTATTTCGGGAGTTCTCAGGCCCAACTAGGTGATCTGAGCCTAAACAAGCCTGTCCTACCTCCTGCCCCCTTGTAGCATAAGACCCCTCCCTCCACCCTTAGATGGTCCTTTTTGGACTGCACAGTAGCATCAGAGACCCTCAGATACAAGTGTCTTCTAGGTTCTTCAAGTCTTAATGATAGAGATATGGCTCAGGGGTAAAGGGCTCGCCACAAAACTGCCTGCTCCTGACTTCCATCCCTAGTTCCCATGAAAAAGCTGGGTACGGTGATCCATGCCTCTGTAGGCCCGTCTCTGGGGAGGGGGAAAGAAAACTGAATAAATAAGCAAATATTTCTTTAGTCCCTTGTAGCACAGGGACCTCTGTGATCACCCCTGAACTCATTCATTCCTGGAATAGAGGACTCCCCAGTATCACCCAATTCCAACTCTGAGCAGCCCTCAAACCTGTATGAAAATCCCTCCCCTTGCTGTAGGACACACCTTTGACCCCAGGACACAGAAAGCAGAGGCAGGTGGATCTCTGAGTTCAAGGCCAGCCTGGTCTACAGAGCAAGTTCCAGGACAGTCAAACTATACAGAAAAAACCTGTCTCTGTCCCTTTGGCAAGGAGTGGGGGGAATCTCCCCTGAGGCCAGGGAGCTGACTCAGGACCTGAGTTCAATACCCAGCATCTATATTAAAAAAAAAAAAAAAAAAAAAAAAGCCGGTGTGGTGGTGCGTGTGACCCCAGCAATGGGTGAGGTGGAGACGGAAGATCCTGGGGCTGGATGTCCAGCTGGCCTAGCTGAGTCAGTGAACTTCCAGTTCACTGAGAGGCTCTGTCTCAAAAGGAAGATGGAGAGAGACTGGGGAAGAGGCAGCCATCGGCCTCTGGCCTCCTGCTTCCTGGTTTCCCAGCCCAGCCTTTGGGTGTCTCCTGGGTTCCCCTTTCAGGTCACATCGATGTGTCTGAGATTCAACAGAGCTTCCGAGCACTGGGGATCTCCATCTCGCTGGAGCAGGCAGAGAAAATTCTACACAGGTGAGTCACTGGAGAGTCAGGCCAGTGGGCCCCCGCCCCCACCACACCCGACAGACAGCTCTGTCCTCTGAGCCCCAGACTGGGATCCGGGAGGGTGGAGGGGAAAAGCTGGACTTTGGAGTCAAACAGATCTTAGGCTAGTGGACTGATGTCCCTGTCTGGCCCTGGAAAGGGCTGGTCTGAAGGATTTACACAGCCGAGCCAGCAGAAGACTGTAACTAGATCAGACCTGAGGCCAGAACCTGTCATCCTAGCACTTGAAAGGTCAAGGCAAGAGAATTACCATGAGTTTAAGGCTAACTTGGACTACAAAATGAGGCTTGACTTAAAAAAAAAATGTCAAATACCAGACATGTGTAGCCTCATACATGGAAGCCAGCTCAGCAGGTACTTGCTACTCAACCCTGATGAAGACTGGGATCCCCAAACCAATGCGGTTGGAAGGAGAGAGTCAACCCAGCAAGTTGTCCTCTACATTCAAGCCATGGCACCTGCGAGCTCTCACACACACCCAAAACCTGAGAGTAGAGCCCCATCCCTTAGCATTAAGGAGGCAGAGGCAGGAGGATGCTGTGAGAGCCAACCCAGCCTAGGCTATGGGGTAAATGCCTGACTTGGTGAAACAGGGCTGGAGAGAGAGGAGACAGCAGTTAGGAGTGTGTGTTTGCTTCCCCACGCCCAAGTCAGGGGACTCACAATCACCTGGAACTACTACTGCAGGGGATGGAATACCTGTGGCCTCACAGGCCACACACACACACACACACACTCACACACACTCACACATACACACACACACACACATACACTCATACACACTCACACATACACTCACACACACACACACACACACACTCACACTTAAAGTTTTTTTAAAGTTGTAAAACTCTTTAACCAGGTGGCACATGGCTGTCCTATCAGCACTCAGAAAGCTAAGGCAGCAGGATTGCCATGACTTTGAGGCCAGCCTGGTCTCCAGGGTAAGACCACATCCAAAAAGGAAAAAAAAAAAAAAAAGAATAGAGCAGTCATAGGGGTGTGGTCCTAGCACTCAGGTACTGAGCTGGAGCTTTTACGTGAATTCCAAGCCAGCTGGGACTACAGCATGAGACCCTATCTCAAACAAACAAATCAGTGCTGGAGAGAGGCGGTAAATTCTGTGCTCCCCAAACCCATGAGGGTAGTGGCACCCGCCCCCTCAGCCGGGACACTGAGCCTGTGCCCACCCTCCTCCAGCATGGACCGAGACGGCACCATGACCATTGACTGGCAGGAATGGCGAGACCACTTTCTGCTGCACTCTCTGGAGAATGTGGAGGACATCCTGTATTTCTGGAAGCATTCCACAGTAAGTCGGGCCCCACCCACGAGGCAGGGGCTTGCTCCAGCTTCCTGGGCCCCGGAAGATCTGGGCTGGGATTCTAGAAGTGTCCTCAGTGTCTGGGGGCTCAGTTAAGGAAGCTCCGTACCTCTACGGTTCTGTCTGGGGGTCAGGAGCCTGGTAGCCACCTGATGACACTTCTGCTGTCTGCTCAGAGACCTTTGGGCTTGCTTAGATTCTGGAGCAAGCTGGTAGGAACTGGGGTTACAGGGGAGAAAATCCACCAAATGGTGTTTCCACGCTCAACCCTCGAAGCTGCTAGCTGCCGAGTGCTTGTTGCCTACTCCACCGATCCTGGGGCTGAGGGAGAGGTGTATGCAGACACTGCATTTGGAGGGTCCAGAGGAGTCCACTGGGGATGGGGAAGGAGGCCAGCCCTTGCACAGAGGTGAGAATCACTAGGATCTGGTGGTGTCTGGAGGACACCTGTCTGTGGGACCTGACAGGATCAGGTTTGCTTCTCCTGGGGAGATGTGAAGAAACATGTACTCACCTCAGGTGAGGTGACCATCCTACCAAGGGCCACCTTGGTGAGCCCATGCGTTTCTGAGCTCAGTTGCTGAGCACAGGGAGGGGTCACTTACACCCCTCGGTGACCCTAAACAGCTGCACCATGGCTGAACGCCACCCCATTGTGGGTGGCGACCGTTAGCCTCTGCCTCCTGTATAGTCAGTGTTTTCCAGGATTCCTTGCAGCTAGGGTGAGGCAGTGATCAGACTTCCTGGTTAGGTCCTGAGACGCGCCCCCCCCCCCCCAAACACACACACACACACACACACACACTAGTGGGTGTCAACAGCTCTATTACCATAGACCCAGTTATCACCAGATTGTTCTGCTCAGTTTGTTGCCATGGCTACCAGGCCAAGGTAATCGCTGCCTCAAAATGACAGCGGGGTGATGATGCCACGCTCAGAGAAAAAGCCATACTACAATCCTCTCGGGAAATCCAGAGACGTGCACCCCCAAAGAGCCCTCCTGGGTTCTAGGAGGGAGCACAGTCCGTGGGGAGTACCTAGGAGAGGATGTCAAGAGGAAGACTGTTTGGAAAAGATGCTTGCGGGAGGACTCCTGGGGGAAGACTCTTGGAGGAGGATTTCTAGGGAGGACTCATCACAGAGGAGATGACTGTGAAAGCAGATCCTTTGGAAGGATTCAGTGGCTCTTTGGGTGGGATCAGTGGATCCCGTCTGTGGTGGGATCTGGTAGATTCTTCACTAGGAATCAGTAGATTCTTTGGTGAGACTCTGGATGTTTTGAGAAGAATTGTGGTGGCTCCTTTGGTGAGATCAGGGGATTCTCTGGTGAAATTCAGTGGCCCCCTTTCTTAAGTTTCAGTGGATTCTTTTGGGAGCATGTCAAGGCAGGGTGTCTTGGGCTGGAGAGATGGCTCAGTAGTTGGGAGCACTGACTGCTCTTCCAGAGGACCTGGGTTCAATTTCCAGCTCAAAGGGCAGCTCACAACTGTCTGTAACTCCAAGATCTGACTCAGGCAAAACACCAATACACATAAAATAAAAATAAATAAGTTTTTAAAAAAAAGAGACAGAGTTTCTCTATGTAGCCCTGGCTGTCCTGGAACTTGCTCTGTAGACCAGGCTGGCCTCGAACTCACAGAGATCTGCCTGCCTCTGCCACTTGCCCAAGTGCTGGGGTTAAAGGTGTGGGCCACTACCACCCACCTGAGTGGATTCTCTTTTTAAGTTACCTATTCTGTGTGGAGGGGCAAGCGTGTGGTGGTCGGAGGACAGCTTGGGGAAGTGTTTTCTCCTTCCATCGTATGTGTGGCAAATACTGGGCTCAGGTCCTCAGCGTGCCCACACACCTTTGCCTAATGAGCCCCTCCGTGGGCTCTTTTGTGGGAGTTGGTGGCTCCTTTGATGGAATTAAGTGGGCTGAATTATTATTCTGGGGACTCAATGGAGCCTGTAATGTAGGGCTTCTCCACCTGTGGGTCGTGACCTGTTTGGCAGTCAAAGGACCCTGTCATGGGGTCACAGATCCAATATTTACATTCCCATTTATCACAGTAACAAACTCACAGTTTTGAAGTAGCAATGAAAATAATTGCATGGTTTGGCGTCACCACAACAGGAGGAACTGTCTCAAAGGGTCGCAGCCTGAGGCCACTGCTTTCGTGGAACTCCGGGGAGCTCTCCCAGAGCCCTGGGCTCTCCCAGAAACACTGCTTTGGACAGATGTTTTAGTGGCACGTGGTGGGATCCAGAAGGGATCTGCTCGGCCCTCCGAGCAAGGTTCTTTGGTGGGCTCTGGGGCGTCCTGGGATTCGTAGAGGAGACTTCTTCACTTAGGAGCATCCTCTGCGGGTACCTGACTGCAGCCCATCCTCAGGTCCTGGACATCGGTGAGTGCCTGACGGTGCCCGACGAGTTCTCCAAGCAAGAGAAACTTACAGGCACGTGGTGGAAGCAGCTGGTGGCGGGCGCAGTGGCAGGCGCCGTGTCCCGGACCGGCACAGCCCCTCTGGACCGTCTCAAGGTCTTCATGCAGGTAAGGGGACCTGAGGAGACCTACCCTTCATTCAGGCCCCAGACCTAGGAGAGTATCGCAAGTATCACCTCCTCTCCCCATTCAGGTCCACGCCTCAAAGTCCAACCGGCTCAACATCCTCGGGGGCCTGCGGAACATGGTTCAGGAAGGGGGCATCCTATCCCTCTGGCGAGGCAACGGCATCAACGTGCTCAAGATCGCCCCTGAGTCGGCCATCAAGTTCATGGCTTACGAACAGGTAGGGCAGGTCCAAGAGCGAGTATATTCGGCTTGGGGAGGCAAAAACTAAGCACAAGGGCTCCCGGCCTTGACTTGCGGGTCTCGGCACCACGCCCCCTCCTGGCCAGCTCTGTGGCAGCCAGAGAACAGCGTAATGGACAGCTTAATGATCCCCAAAGTTCATCCCCGAATGATCCCTACACCCGGTCCCACCCTCAGATCAAGCGGGCCATCCGGGGTCAGCAAGAGACGCTGCACGTCCAGGAGCGCTTCGTGGCTGGCTCCCTGGCCGGGGCCACAGCTCAGACCATCATCTACCCCATGGAGGTGAGAAGGATGGGGCAGAGGAAGACCGTCCCCACCCCACCCCCACCCCCACCCCTATCCCCGGTCCACACTCACTGTGTGTAACCCTAACTGCCTGACTTGGGACCAGAAGCCTGTCTAGCTTGTCTGGGCATCTCGATTTGAGCTATAACTTCTAGGGACTTGGTTAGAACTGGTTCGCACAGTAGTCATAGCAACCTGCCCTCTGCGGGTGTGCCTGCCAAGGGCGCGGACAGCAGGCGTGGGCCACCACACCTGGTTTCTGTGGTGCCGGGATGGAAGCAGGGCTTTGTGCGTCCCAAAGGGGGCACTCTACCCACTCAGGCCCCGCTGGGCCCTCAGCACAGCTGCCTTCATGAGTAGCCACTTCATGTCCCTCCTGGGCATGACGATTCTGGAAGCAATTTTTCAAGGGGTTAACAGAGTTCTCACCCAGGTACTGAAGACTCGGCTGACTCTACGCAGAACGGGCCAGTACAAGGGGCTCCTGGACTGCGCGAGACGGATCCTGGAGAGGGAAGGGCCCCGCGCCTTCTACCGCGGCTACCTGCCTAACGTGCTGGGCATTATCCCCTACGCAGGAATCGACCTGGCCGTCTACGAGGTCTGTGGATAACCACCCGCCCGCCCTTCTTCTTCTAGGGTCTGGCCTAGGACATTCCTGGCTAATTCAGTAAACTTCTTGTAGCCAGGACGGGCAATTGTGGGCCTGGCAACTGTGATGGGCATGAGAACCTTAGAGGGCCCCTGCAGACATCAGACCTCCATCTTCTCTCATTCAATGTTGTAAAAACCTTGTTTCCGGTTCCACATGGTGGTGCACACTTGGCACACAGGGACTTGGGAGGCTGACGTAGGACTGGGGTTCAAGGCAGTTCTGCACCAGGTAGTCAGTTTCAAGACAGCCTGGTCATGTCTTGCCTGGCAATGGTGGTACACGCCTTTAATCCCAGCACTAGGATGCTCCTTGCTAATTCAGTAGACTTTTTGCAGCTAGGCAGGACAGAGGCAGAGACAGAGTCAGGCATATCTCTGAGTTTGTGGCCAGCCTGGTCTCCAGGACGAGTTTTAAGACAGCCATGGTTACACAGAGAAACTTGTCAAAGAAAGGAAGAATGGAAGGAAGGAAGCAAGCAAGCAAGGAAGAAAGGAAAAAAAGAAAGAAAGAATCCTGTTTAAGAAATTAACAACAGCCAAATAGACAAACAAGACTAAAGAGATGGCTCAGCCATTAAAAATGTTTGCTGCTTTGGCAGAGGACATGGGTTCAGTTTCCAGCAGCATCAAGGTCTAACAAGGCCTTGTGAGTCCAGCTCCAGGGAATCCAGTGCCCTCTTCTGGTCTCCAAAGGCACTGTGCTCACGTGGTGTGATACACTCAAACAGGCACACACATGTACACATACGTAAAAAAAAAAAAAAAAAAATTAAACTACTTTTAGCCAGGTATGGAGGCTGGTGCCTATCGTCCAAAACTCAGAAGAGTGGGGCAGGCAGATTACCGCAACTAGGCATGGTGGCGCATGCCTCTAATCCTATGCCTTGGGGCAGAGGCAGGAGAATCTCTGTGAGCTCAAGGCCAGCCTGGGCCACTAAGTGACTCTCTCTCTCTTTCTCCAAGAACAATAATAGAATCATTATTGGGGTGCTGGGGGGTGAAGCCAGGAGTTCACAATTGCCTTCTTGGAATTACAGAAGTGTTAGCATACTTTTAAAAACTATTTTACTGACGGTTCTTACGCCTCTTTCTCTTTACTCCACCCAATCCCTTCCAACACCCCAACACCAGGTAGGAGAGAAAGAAGGTTAGTGAGGAGAGGAACAGTTCTCTTTAGCTACTTCCTTATGGTTAGGGTCAGTGGGTTCTTTGGGGCAAGTCCAATCTTCCTTTCAAGATATCTTCAGGTTCTTCTTGTTGTTGTCAAACTTCTACAACAGCAGCCAGGAGCAGCTGGGGGGAGCCCCAGCCATCTTCTTTCTCAGAGCCCCCTTTCTCTGTCTAGGCTCTAGCCTTTATTCTCTCTTCACAGTCCTGAGAATTAAACTCTCTGCAGCTGGCCAAGAGCCCCTCACAGAGCCCACACAAGGCAAAGAGTCTGCTGCTGTGGGCATCTGAATCAGCCCCATATCCCAGCCTGGGATTAAAACAAAAACACGTTTGCATAACGTAACTGAGGTTCTTAAGGACACCAAAACTTTCCACTGCATGGAAGCTTTGACATTGCAGAAATTAGGGACCCCTCCAGCTCCTCGTATCAAGAACACAGTGTACGATGAGCCTCAGAGATGCTTATCTTCCCCAAAGCATGTGTGGAACCTGGCCTCATCTCTATACCAACAAACTCTTTTTCCTTTCTTTTTTTTTTTTTTTTCAATTTTTCAGTTATTTTCAGATTTGATCACATATGGGTGTTTGCCTGCATGTGGTCCCCATGGAGCCCAGAAAAGGGTGCCAGGTCCCCTAGAGCCAGAGTTACATACAGTTGGGAGCCTCCATGTGGGTGCTGGGCATTAAACCAGATCCTCTGCAAAAACAGCCAGGGCTCCAACCGCTGAGCTGTCTCTCCAGGGCTGCCACCACCCCCAAGACAGATGTAGGTAGCCTTGGTTGGCCTCAGACTTGCCAGGTAGCTGAGGAAGAGTTTGAGCTTCTGATCCTTTTTTTTTTTTTCTTCTTTATATCCGGTCGTACCCCCCCCTTCCCTCTGATTCTCTTGACTGTAACTCCAGAGTGCTGGGTGATAGGGCTGCACTACCAGGCCCAGTTAATATGGTGCCAGGATGGCACCCAGGCCTTTATGCTTCTTAGGAAGTGCTCCACCAACTGAAACTCAGCTTTTGGGTTTGTGTGTGTGTGTTTCTTGTTGTTGTTTTTGTTCTTTGTTTGTTTGTTTTTAAAGGTGGCCCTCACTATGCAGCCCATGGTGTCCTGGATTCATGGTAATCCCCCTGCCTCAGCTTCCTGACTAACATTACAGGCATGTACCACTATCCCTGCCTACAGAACAAGTGTGTGTGTGTCTGTGTATCTGTGTGTGTAAGGGTGTAAAGGCCAGAAGACAAACTCAGACGTCATTCTTCAGATACTGTCCACCTTATTTTTTGACACAGGATCTCGTCCTGAGACCTGGGGCTCATCAAGGAGGCTAGAGGGGTTCATTAGTGGCCCCAAGGAATCCTCCTGTCTCTGCCTTTCCAACAGTGTGGTTAAGGTGTACACAACCCTGCCTGGCTTTTGACATGGGCGCTGGGGGTCAGACCCACGCCCTCGTGCTGACATGGGGTTTTCCATCTGTGCTGTCTCTGTAGCCCTGAGCAGCTCTTCTCATGTGTTCACGACTCTGTGTGAAGGTGTGCCACGGCCTCTGTGTGGAGGTCAGAGGGCACCTTTCAGGAGCCACTCCTCTCCTTTCACCACGTGGGTTCTAGTTATCAATTCTAGGTCGTCAGGCTTAGCTACCGTCTCGACAGCTCTTAATAACTCATTAAACATCTGTATTCTCAGTGCCCATATCCTGGCTTGCAACCACCCGTAACCCCAGTTCTGGGGGATCAGACTCCCTCTTCTGGCCTCTATAGGCACTGCATGCTTGTGGTGCCAGACATACATGGAGAGGAACACCCACATATATGAAATAAAAATAAAAAGAAATAAAAAGGAGGTGATGGTGGCACTCGCCCTTCACCCCAGAACTTGGGAAGCGGAGGCAAGCAGATCTCCATGAGTTTTGAGTCCAGCCTGGTTCACGTAGCAAGTTCTAGGCCAACCAGAGCCACAGAGAGAGCCTGGGGAGATGGCTGGGTTGTTAGGGTGCCTGCCACATAAGTGTGAGGGCATGAGTTCTATCCAGAATCTACGAAAAACATCAGGAAGAGCATCTGCCTCCCCAGGGCTGGGAGGGAGAAGCAGGAGGTCCCTGGGGCTCTCTGCCTGGCCAGTCAGTGAGCTCAGGTTCAGCGAGAGACCCTGTCTCCAAAGGTAAGTCTGATGTCAACCTCTGGCCTCCACGTCCTCACGTGGGCATGCACCCCTGCACAGGCATGCACACACACAAGCACGCACTTACACCCCTAGAAAGTGAAAGGTAAGAGAAGGGGGAAAGGAAGAGAGGATGATCTTGGAAGAGCATTCCAGAAAATGCCAGAGCTTTTGGCACGTGGCTCACTCTCCCCCCGTTTCTCGTCTGCCAAGTAGGAACCGTACAAATAGTCACTGTCTTGGATGAAATAGTCTGAGGTTGTTGGGGTTAAGGTGGGTAGAGGAAGGCAGGGTCGCTCGCTGACCTGCAGGGGCTGACCACCCTGCCAGCCTCTGAGAGTCTTCTCGCCCCTGCCTCCCCAGGGCCGCCCTTACAGATGCACAGGCTCATCTGGTGTGTACACGCTGGAATCCAAACTCCGGCCCTCTAGCTCATGAAATAATCTCTACCTGTGGAGGAGCCACCTACTTGGCCCCTTCTTTTCTATTTTAAATTTCATTTGTTTACTTTCATTATACACAGTGTTTCATTTTGTTGCCCCAGCTAACCACAAGCTCCTGGGCAGGGTCAAGCCTCCTGCCTTAGCCTCCTGGGAAGCTAGATTGACAGATGGTCACTGTCATTTCCAGCAGCATTCCCTTGCTATAAATCTGTCACTCCCGTTTCTGTGTCTGCTGTCCCTTGACTCCCTCCTCTATGCCCCTGTCTTCCTATAAGGACACCTGTGACTCTCAGAGCCTGATCCAGTCATCTCCACCAGTCGCATCAGAGCAGAACTCGAAAGTACTCAGATAGTGGAGGATGTAGCTCACGGGTTGAGCTCCTCCTAGTACACACAAAGCCTGTGAGTGCCTCAGAAACTCAGGCACGCATCCTTTCACCCCACCATGAAGAGGCAGTGGCCGGAGGACCAGAGGTTCAGGGTCAGCCTCAGCTAGAGTAGGAGACCCGTCTGGGCTAGTGAGACTGCTTTTATTTTCTTTTTCTTTCTTTCTGTCTTTCTTTCTTTTTCTTTTTTTTTTTTTTTTTTTTTGGCTTTTCAAGACAGGGTTTCTGTGTAGCCCTGGCTGTCCTGGCTCAAACTCAGAGATTTGTCTGCCTCTTCCAAGTGCTGTGGACAGTCGTACAGAGGTCCCAGTCATGGGATGTGTGCACAGTACAAGAGGCAAAGCGGAAGGAGTACAGGCAAACTGCTCACAGAAGCCAAGCTGGGTAGCGCAAGCCTGTCATCCCAGCCCTGAGGAGGCTGAGAGGATGGCAGACTTGAAGGCCAGTATTGGCTGCAGAGTAAGCGCCTTTCCGAAAATGAAAGTTTTCAAAGCAAGGGCCATACCTCAAGTGGTGAAGCTGAGGGTGTGGCTCAGGGGTAGAGTCTCTGCTTACAATGCCCCAGTAAGAGAGTTGGGGGCATGGCCCCGCCCAGAATCCCCATTTAGGGGCTGGGGCGTGGTCAGTGGTGGAGCCCCGCCTAGAGTCGCCCCCCACCCCCGTGAGAGGCTGAGGGCGTGGCACCTGACCCGGTAGGGAAGACAAACTACATCTAATGTAATGCCAGCAACGGTGGTACACAGAGCTGGCGGCAAGGTCTTCGACACAGGGTCTTCCCATCTGCAACTCTGAACCCACCGGCTCATCTCTTCTAGACCCTGAAGAATCACTGGCTTCATCAGTACAGCCACGAATCGGCAAACCCAGGCATCCTCGTGCTCCTGGCCTGTGGCACCATCTCCAGCACCTGCGGCCAGATTGCCAGCTACCCCCTGGCACTGGTCCGGACCCGAATGCAGGCGCAAGGTGAGAGGCCTGGGCGGGAGGCTGGGGTAGCAAAGCCTGACACTCAGGGTCTACCCGCTGTCCCCTCACTCGGCGTAGGCGGAGCCCTGGGCCGGGATTTGGTAGGTTTGGGTAGCCTTCATAGCCTTTGCTCTTGTCTGGGCTTCGTTTTCCCCAGCAGTGACACTGAAGAGCGAGGCTTTTGCGTTACTGGGCGTGGAATACAGGGAAGTACAGCAGACAGGCCTGCCCGTAACTTGAGCTCTTGCAAACTGGGTGAAAACAAGGGAGTGGGGGGTGCCGGCATTAGCCAAGGTCAAGGAAGGGCAGTCCCTTGTTTCTTTAATTTTCTTTCTTTCTTCATCTATTTATTTTGTAAGATAGGATCTCACTATGTAACCCAGGCTGGCCTCAAACTTGGAGAGATCTGCTTGCCTCTGGACCCAAATGCTGGGGTTAGAGGCGTGGACCAGGCTGGCTGTATTATTGTTATTTTTAGACAAAGTCACACTGTGCGGCCCTAGCTGGCCTGGAATACAGAGCTCACCTCTGGCCTCTGCCTCCAAAAGTCGGCATCCTGTGCCCAGCCTTACAGACAGCCAACTTGCTGTGTTCTGCTTTGATTTCAAGGGGTTTCAAAATTTTTTAAGATTTATTTTTACTTTTGTACATGTGCATGCATGTTTGCGTGTCTATGTGTGTGTGTGTCTACGTGTGAGAGAGAGACACGCACAGAGGCCTGACAGATCCTGTAGAGGTCCAGTTACTGAGTTCTGTGGTGGCCAGAAATTGAACTCTCTGGAAGAGCAGAGGACTCTCTCCCACTGAGCCATCCCTCCAGCCCTTGATCTGAGTTTTGTTGTTTGTTTTTTTAAAACAGAGGATTAAGCCCAGCAACACACACCTATAATCACAGCGCTCAGGAGGCAGAGGCAGGCGGATCTCTATGAGTTCAAGGCCAGCCTGGTCTACAGAGTGAGTCCAGAACAGCCAGGGCTACACAGAGAAACCCTGTCTCAATAAAAAAAGACAGGATTGCTATGTACTCAGGGCAATCCTCCTGCCTCAGTTTTCCCACTGTTGTTTCCCTCTGTATTTTCTCCCGTGGGTTGTTTTCCCATTCAGTTACCCCTGAGTCTGTTTTTGTGAACCTTAGTTCCTGGACTTTTGCTGGAGAAACTCTCAGTGAATGACATAAATGCACCCTCTACCTTCATGGACTTCATCCCCTGGGGAGCAGGAAACAGGCCACAGAGATCATCGCACGGTCAAGTGCCGATTTAGGGTTGAGGAGAGGGGAGGCAGGGGTACACACAGGGCTCCCCCAAGAGCTGACTTTGGGATGGAGGCCTGGCCGGGGAGATGAGCAGAAGAAAACCCTGAAGAGAAGGAGAGAATTCACCCTAAGAATGCAAGAAGTTCCTCTTGTCATATGCAGACACACGTACACTCACACACGTGTGCGCTCTTACACACAGACACAGATATGCACTCTCACACGTGTGCATACAAATTTTCATGCCTGCGTATGCATACTCACACTGGTACATGTACACACACACACACACATATGTACTCTCACACATGCGCACACAGACACACTCTCACACATGCACAAACCTGGTGGCTCCCTCCATCCCTTAGCCTGCCAGTTCCCAGGCCCACAGACCTGAGTCTTGTAGATCCCACGGTTCCTCTATCTCTCCCTCCTGCCTCCTGTTGACATGCCCAGCCTGGGGTAGAGCAGGAGGGGAAAATGAGAGGGGCAAGCGTTGCTCTTACCTGGCCCTCACCCCCCAACAGCCTCCATTGAGGGTGGCCCCCAAGTCTCCATGGTGAGTCTGCTGCGGCACATCCTATCCCAGGAGGGTGTCTGGGGCCTCTACCGGGGCATTGCCCCCAACTTCATGAAGGTCATTCCAGCCGTGAGCATCTCCTACGTGGTCTACGAGAACATGAAGCAGGCTCTTGGGGTCACATCCAGGTGAGGGACTGGGAGCCTGTCCCCACAAGATTCCCTCATCTTCATCATGGCATCCCCAGGCTGATGTCTTCAACAACCAGAGACTGATGGCCTGACCGGTCATCCCCACCCCAAGCTGCTGGATCCCAGCACCCAAATCCCAGATCCTTGCCCTGTGCCCCATCATTGTACCATGGGATCCCACACTTTAGCCACTGGACCCCAGGACTGGACCCTTGACTTCACAAGCAAACCACAAAAGCTGGCCCACACCCATCAGCAGTCTGACACTTGAAATGCAAAACTACCCACACCCTGGCCCTGAACCCCAAGCTCCTTGATTCTGTTCATCTGCACCCCAAAGCTGGATCCTGCCTTCTCCCTGTCCCACCACTGCGTGCTGGGCCGCCCTGTGCAGCAGCAGGTGGTCCCAGTGCCCCAAGCATGGGGGCACACATGCACCCCAACGTCCACACCTCAGACCCCCTCAGGACCAGACCCGGGGACCTAAGGCCACATTGGACCTCAACTCCCCAACCTGCCTCACAGTCCAGCCACTGGATTCTAGAAGCCAAGAATGCTCGGCCCCAGGGTCCTGACAGGGGAGACCTGTGTCCTGCTGCTGGGTCCCTAGATCCCGGGATCCCAGATTCCTCACCCCAAGCAGTTCATCTTCCTCAGTTCGGGGTTCCATTTCCTTCCCGCCTGACTGCTGGGTCTACGCTGGAAGCACCACTCTCAGTCTCATCACTGGATCCCAGAGTCCCGAGTCCCAGCCTGCTGGCTTCTGGCTCCTGGAAGCACAGGTGTGAGAGCTCCGGGGTGCCTCGGGTGGAGCCCACCTGCCACAGCTGCTAATTCTCAGATCCTAGACTCCTTCAACACTCCCCCTGGCTGCCGTGACAGACCAAGCTATCCCAGAAACCACCAGGTCCCAAAGCCTTTGCTCCTGCACCCCGAATGCCACTCAAGACTAGATCCCAACAACCCAATGATAGCATCTTAGATCCCACAGGCACCACAAAGCCGAGACACACCCTGGAGCGGACCCCCACTGCATGAAAGCATTACCATCCAAGGAGCCCTCGTGAAGCCCAGACCCCAGACCAGTGTCTCCCCACCGGGCAGTAAGGGATGGGGTCTATGTCCAATGCCGCACCCCATGCGAATGGATCTCACCTCAGCTGGGACACACCTCCCCTTCCCCACCCAGGGAAACCACTCCCCCAGATCACCACCCTCTCTGCCCCCCGACTCTCTGCAATGTCTTCCACATTCCAGGCTAGAGGCTCCCGGGGCCCAGGACCTCTGGGAGGGTCCGGGCCGCTTGTCCATGGGCTGGAGCTACCCGGTGAAGCTAGGACAACCAAGGGAGCCTTCTGCATCCCAGCACTGCCAGCCCCATCGGGCCTCATCAAGCCACAATCGAGGACCAATACGCACATCCTTCTGAAACCCAGCATCCAATATGCAAAATTACACGACCCCGAGCTGACTCGGGGGTCTATTTTTCTACGAGGCAGAGAACAAAGTCGTCAGGCTCCTACCACATTCCCACACCTCCCATACTTCAGCGTTGGGTTCTCAGCTAAGGAGAACCGGGGGTGCCCTGTTTGACTCCCCAGTCTTTGGGTGACATCAAAGGTCTGTGAAGGGAGACTGGGATGTTGGGGGACAGGAGGACCCCACCATGGCTTCCACCTCTCCCTCCAACCTACACCAAGTCCCTCCTCCCTGCCCATGTGTGTCATTTCAAGGAAAAGGAATAAATTTTCTAAGCTCTTTCATTGCTGCTTTTCAATTTTTTAAAATTTGCGTTTATTTCTTTGAGCGAAGGACATACGGAAGTCAGAAGAAAACTGGTGGGAGCCCTCTCCTTCCCGAGATGGGTCCTGGAGATCAAAAATATGTGGTCAGGCTTGGTGCGAGCGCCTTTACCTGCTGAGCCATCTCACTGACCTCACTGTAGTTTCGTGACTTTTAAAAGATTATGAAAAGGGGGGTGGGGGAGTGTTCGTGTGAAACCACATTGAGGTACTCCCAAGGAAGTAAGATGAGACACGGGTCTCTGTGTGTCTGTCTCTGTGTCTGCCTGTCTCTGTCTCTCTCTCATATGCACACACACCCTACTTCCTTCATCTCTCTCCCATACCTCTCTCCCTTTCCCCTTTTATCTTGCTCACCCTCTCCTCTTCCTACCTGCCTTTCTTTATCCACTACCCTCCCATCCTACCTCCTTCCTCGCTCCCCTCCTTCTTCTTTCCTTCCTCCCTTCTGGCCTTTCATCCCCCCATCCCCCTCTCTTTGCTCTTCTCCGAGAGATTGGAGCCTCAGTTTCCACCCCATTTATAAAGAGCGAGGGGGATGGGGAGCTGGCTCAGTGGTTTAAAGCCTGCACTGCTCCTGCAGAGGACCTGGGTTACAGTTTCGACGCCCACATGGTAGTTCACAAGCATCTGTAGACCCGAAGCCCCGTTCTGGCCTCAGAAGATACTAATCTCACGTGTGCACATGCAGACACACAAACAGAGGGTAAGGTGCTTGCCGCATAAGCCAGACCCAGCTGCAAGTGGGAGGAGCTGATTCCACAAAACTGCAGCCAGACCTTCACAAATGCACCGTAGTACACACACACACACAGTCACCAAAATTACATCTTTTCAAGATTTGAATTATACCGTGTGTCTGCCTGTGGTATGTCTGTAAGAAAGCCAGAGGTCCCTTGGGGCTGGAATTACAGTGGTTGTGAGCCACCCGGCATGGGTGCTGGGACCTGAACCCAGGTTCTCCACAGCAGTACGCACTCTTAACCACTGAGCCGTCTCTCCGGCCCCAGTTAAACACACACACACTCAGGAGAGAGGGGCTAGAGGAGGGGAGGAAGGGGACTTTAAATCTGGGTGAGATGTCATACAGCCGTCACCCCAGCATTTGACCTGGTGAAGGCAGGAGGCTCAGGAGTTCAAAGTCATCGCTGGCTGCATTGCAAGTTTTAGGCCATCCTGGGCTATGTGAGACCCGGTCTCACTGATGCCTACTTTAAGAGAAGAAAACAAACAGATTTTAAAACGTTTTTGTTGTACACAGATGGGTGGCATGGAGCTCACTCACTGAGCTGGGCAGCTATCTCTCTCTCTCTGCCCTCGTCTCCGGAGCCCTCCATCTGTCCGCACCAAAGCTCTGCCTCCGGCCCAACACTGACTTCGTTCTGCTTCCTGCCTTGGGAGGGGGAGGCAAGAGGACCAGGAATTCAAAGTCATCCTTAGCCACTTGGTGGGTTTGAGACCAGCCTGGGCTACATGGCATCCTGTCTTAGAACAAAACCCCACTCAGAGAACACCCGGGCTCTTCCCGGCGTGTGGGAGTTAGGATGTGGACACCATAGGAAGACTAGGGCCAGCCACACTGCCCGCCATCATGCTTGTGAGCTCACAGGCACTTTTGTGACCTCACCCTCCTCTTGCCCCTAAAAGCACAAGGCCAGCAGGGAGCCACTCTCAGCTGGAAGCCAGATAGACACCCGGGGACAAGGACGGGGACGCTGACACTGACACAGTAACCCTGCAGCAGCCATGGGAGGCCGTGCTGAGGTAACCAGGGGCCAGACCTTGCTCAAGAGGGTCAAGGCCTTATGTAGAAAAGCTCTACCCCTGCCCCGCCCCACCCCCCCTGCTCCACCCCCATATGCATCCTGGAACCCAGGGTGCACACACGTGTGTGTGTGTGTGTGTGTGTGTGTGTTTGGACACTTGGGTGAAAACATCCCTGAGCAGCCTCCACCATAGCAGGTAAGTCTGGGGAGCAAGGTGGCACAGGGCCCCAGGCTAGACCAAAAGGAAACAGCTGTGCTGCCCTTATGGCATGGGGCATCTTGTTCCTCCAGGCGGAGTGGAGTATCCATTCTGAGACATGTGTGAGTGCATGAGGTGGATCCACTGTTGTCCCAGTGCCGGGGAGGCTGCAGGCAGGGCGTCAGAAGTTCAAGGTCGCTCTGAGCTGTCTACTGAGCCCCTGTCTCAGAAAAAAAGGGGAGAAGGGGAGAAAGAGAGCAAGGCTGAAGACATGGCTCAGGGGATAAAGTAACTGACCCTCTTCCAAGCACAAGGCCAGAATCCGGTCCATAAAACCTATGTAAATGCCAGGCAGGCCTGACAGCCACCTGTGACCCCAACAGCCCAGGGGTGGACACGGAGGTGGGGGAGCAAGCTGGCTGGCTAGACTGCATGAACCTGTGAACGCCAGGCTCAGGAGAGTCTGCCTAAACACAGCAGGGGGAGGGTGGCCCAGGAAGACACTGGACATCAGCCTCTGCCCTGTACACACACACACACACACACACACACACACACACACGCACACACACACACACACAAAGAAGAAAAACCAGACTTGAGCAGTTAACGGTTCTTGCAGAAGCCAGGCATGGCAGCACATACCTTTAATCCCGGCGCTCGGGAGACAGAGTCGGGCAGGTCTCCAGGAGTTCAAACAGCCAGGACTACACAGAGAAACCCTGTCTCAAAAAACACAAAAGACTTCTTGTAGGGGACAAGAGCTCAGTCCCCATGGTGGCCCACAACCATCTGTGACTCCAGTTCCAGGGAGCCCCCTGTCTTTTTCTGGCCTCCCTGGGTACTTTCACTCATGTATGTGCACACACAAGAAGGAAATCACTGAGAGAGAAAGCATCATGGCTGTGGTGGCACCCGCCTCAGTGCCAGCGCTCCAGAGCCCGAGGCAAGCAGATGTTTGTGAACTGGAAACCAGCCTGGTCTACACAGTGAAACCCTGCCACAAAACAAACTCAAAAGAATAATAATAATAATACCAACTCAGCACCAACGTGACAACATGCCTGTAATCCCAGCAGGGGGGGGGGGGCAGAGGCAGGCAGATAGATCTCTGTGCGTTTGAGGCTAGCCTGGTCTACAAAGTGGGGTCCAAAACAGCTACACAGAGAAACCCTGTTTCAAAAAAAAAAAACAAAAGAAAGAGAGAACCCTGCCAAGTCACCCCCTCCAAAGAACTGTCACATGGAGGCAACAAAGCAAGACAGAGAGGGCCCTCAGTAGGGCGCGCCCTTGTTGAGCATGGCCAGCAGGTGGCTGTTGTTCCAGGTTCTGGACACAGGCGAGCAGCTGATCGTCCCTGTGGATGTCTTGGAAGAGAAGAACAAGGGGACCCTGTGGAAGTTCTTGCTCTCTGGAGCCACGGCTGGGGCGGTGTCCCGCACAGGGACGGCCCCTCTGGACAGAGCCAGGGTTTACATGCAGGTTTGTCCATGGGGCTGAAACGCTTTGTAGGGACAGTACGGTTGGAGAGGGGGACAGATGGAGTAGATGGACTGGAGAGAGACATAGAGGCCTCATAAAGTTGTTGCTGTGACTGGAGTTGTGGAAGATGGGACAGGAGGTGAAGTCATGTTGGGGCTAGATTTAGAGAACTCCAGGAACAGAGACCAACGTGAGACGAGGTAAAAAAGGTTTGGAGTTCTGTGGGTTGTGGCTGGTGTCTTTGAGAAGTTTGCTGTGGGACATGAAGGGATGAAAGAGCTTGAGAATGGACCCCAAGGCTTCACACATGCCAGAGAAGCACTCGTGGCTGAACAATGTTCCCAGCCCTCCTTTCTTGAAAACTTTGTTTTTGTTTTATGTGTTTGAGTTTGACTGCGTGTCTGTGCACGGTATACATGCAGTGCCGCTGGAGGCCAGGAGAGGGCGTTGGATCCCCTAGAACTGGCGTTACAGGTGGTTGCAAGCCGCCATGTGGGTGCTGGGAACCCAAGCAGGTTCCTTTGCAAGAGTAGCCGGGGCTCCTGACCCCTGAGTCATCCCCTCGGCCCCCAGCCCAGTGCTCTAACCACTAGCTGTCCCACCAGCCACGCTCTTGTCACATTTTCCGTCATCTCAGTAAGTAAGCCCAGGTTGAACCTGAATTCACTCCGTAGCCCAGAAAAGCTACAATGTTTCTGACTCAGGCTCCAAAAGAGTTGAGATCACAGACCAGCATTGCCAGACCTGGCCACAATGGAGGTCTTTAGATCAATGTGAAAACTAAATAAATGGATCTACCTCGTGATTGGCTCAGGGCTGGAGCCTCCCCAAAGAGAGGGACTGGGGGAGTGGTCAGGGGTGGAGCCCCGGCTAGAGCACCCCAGCGCGCGGCTGGGGAACACCTGGCGGGTCTCGGGGCTGCTTCCCCTCCTGCTCCCCAGGTGTACTCCTCCAAGAGTAACTTCAGGCACCTGGTGAGTGGGCTGCGGAGCCTGATCCAGGAGGGCGGCGTCCGCTCGCTCTGGCGCGGCAACGGCATCAACGTGCTCAAGATCGCCCCGGAGTACGCCATCAAGTTCTCTGTGTTTGAGCAGGTGAGCCTGGGGTCTCACCGCAGATCAAGCCTCCAGAGTACAAGGTACCCCCCACCCTCCCGATGCACTGTGGCAGGAGGTTCTCTCACACCCAGTACCCCTGCAGTTTAAGAATTGCTTCTGCCATGAGGACAGCTTCCTGCCCTTCCAGGAGCGGGTGCTCGCGGGCTCCCTGGCCGTGGCCATCTCCCAGACGTTCATCAACCCCATGGAGGTAAGGCAGGAGGACTCGGGTGATCAGGACTGACTCTGGGGCACCCCTCACCTCCTCCTCCCTCCGCTCCCTTACTTCCTCTCCCACCTTTTACACCCCACTCCCCCTTCTTCCTCCTGGTCTCAGCCTGCTCCTTTCCCTTCTCCCTCACCCCTCCCCTTCCTTGCTCCTTCTTCTCCCTCCTCACTTTTCTCCACCCTCCTGCCTTCCTTTTTGTTTTTGTTTTTTGGATTTCGGGGTTTGTTGTTGTTGAGATAAGGTTTCTCTGTGTAGCTCTGGCTGTCCTGAAACTCACTCTGTTGACCCGGCTGGCCTCGAACTCAGAGATTCCACGTGACTCTGTCTCCCGAGTGCTGGGAGTAAAGTCATGTCCACCACATCACATCTGGTACCTTTTCCTTTTTCTTTCCTCATTCCGTTTTTCCCTTTCCTTTTTCTTTCTTCCTCCTCCTCCTCTTCCTCTTCTTCTTCCTCTTCATCTTCGTCGTCATTCTTTGAGACAGGATTTCTTTGTGTAGCCATGGCTGTCCTGGAACTTAATATGTACACCAGGCTAGCTTTGAACTCAAATCTGCCTGCCTCTGACTCCTGAGAGCTGACAGGCACCACCACTACCCCGCCTTGCTCTTTTTTTTTCTTCCTTTTTTAAAATGTATTTATTCTTATCTTATGTGCATTTGGTGTTTTGCCTGCATGTCTGTGTAAGGGTGTCAGATCCCTTGAGACTGGAGCTGCTGTTTGTGAGCTGCCATGTGGGTTCTGGGAATTGAACCCGGATTCTCTGAAAGAGGAGCCAGGGCTCTTAGCCACTCAGCCATCTCTCCAGGGCCCCTTGCTTTTCCTTTTTTAAAATTCATTAGTTGTATGGATGTTCATGCACCGTGTGTACATGTCTGGTGCTCACGAAGGCCAGAAGAGGGCATTGGATCCCCTGAAACGGGAGTTAAATACAGCTGCCTGGGAGCCACCTTGTGGGTCCCCTGGGAGAGCAGCCATCTCTTGACCTCCACTCCGATTCCTTCACCCTTCCTTCCTCTGCTCACCCCAACCCTTCCTTCTCATTCCCCTCTTCCCCCTTCGAGTCCTCCTTCCTCTTTTGTTTGATCGACCCCAGTTTTCACACTGTAACTCGGGATGGCCTAGAACACCAGCCTGCTTGTCCTACCTGGGCCTCCCGCATGCTGGAACTATGGACACCAAACCCTGAATTCTCTGTTTCTTTCTCTGATGCTGAAACTCAGTCTTTCCTCAGGCTGGGCAAGCTCTCTTCACCAAGACAGGACCCCAGCCCTACACTCCTCTTCCTTGCTGTGTGTCAGGCACTCATCTGACACTGCAGATGCCCCAGGCCTTGTCTCCAACAACCCCAGAGACCTCAGAGCGCTCAAAGTCACACACACACACTGAGCAATGAATGCTATGCAGTCTTTTTTTGTTTTGGGGAGGGTTGGTTGGGTTGTTTTTTAAGTGTAGTTCAGGCTGTCCTTACTCACACCATGTAGCCAAAATGACCCTGAACTCCTGATCCTCCTGCCTCCACCTCCTGGGTGCTGGGATGAGAGTGCAGAGGGCCCCCAGCACCATCTACTTTCGCAGAAGTTGAAATCTTTTCCAAAGTCAGCTGGAAAGTTCACAGTCAGCCTGCAGTTTGGCAAGGATCGGGGTGCCGTGTGACAGCAGGCCACACACTGGCTCAGGCACCCCCAAAGGCTGCCTTTTCTACCAACGCAGTACACAGCTGTGTGCTCTGTGTCCCTGCTTTCAGGCTGCCTGTCCCACTACCGAGGCCCCCAGACTACCCACCTCCCTGGTCCCCTGCCTCAAGGACATTCAGACTGCCTTCCCAGTTTCCCCTTTAACTTTGTAGATTTTGTCAGGCATGGCAGAAGCCTTGCCAGAGGCAGAGGCAGAGGCATGCCTGTGAGTTGAAGGCCAGCCTGCTCTATATAGCTGGTTTCGGGACAGCCAGACCCTGCCAGTGAGACCCTGCCTCAAAAAGAATTTTAGAGACTACTTTTTTTTTTTTTTTTTTTTTTTTTTGCATTTCAGAGTTAAGTTTTTGTTTCTGGTTATATGTGTGTGTTGCGTGCACACACTCCCAAGTGTGTCATGAGGGGAGTTGCCTCTCTTATTGCGGACAAGAGCACCAATGAGGATCGAGTTTAGTGTTTTGCACATGGTAGGGCACCTGTCTGTATATTTTTAAAATTTACTTTTATTTTATATACATTGGTGTTTTGTGCCTGTATGTGTGTCTATGTGAGAGTGTCAGATCTAGGAGTTACAGACAGTTGTGAGCTGCCATGTGGGTGCTGGGATTTGAACCCTGGTCCTCTGGAAGAGCAGTTATTGTCCTTAACAACTGAGGCATCTCTCCGGCACCCCGTCTGTTCTTTGTTTGTCTTGCTTTGTTTTGTTTTGTTTGCTGTTTGTATGTGTGTGTGTAATGTCTGCAGAGGTCAGAAGAGGGCATGGGTTCCCAGGAACTGGAGTTACTACGTGCAGCCCAGGATCAAACCAGGGTCATCAAGCTTAGGAGCAAATGCCTTAATGCACTGAGGCATCTCCTCTGCCCGTTTTTGAAATGAAGTTTCATGTAACTCAGGCTGCCCTTGAACTCACTATGTAGCCCAGGATGATCTTGAACTCTGGATCCTCCTCAGCTGCATGGTAAACAAGAGGCCAGCCTGGACTACTTCAGACACAGTCTCAGACACACAGAGTAGACATTTGGTTGGGTCTTGGGGAATGGTTATGGTTAAATGAATCTTGGGGTGGCATGATTGGATCCTGCGTCCCCATCCCCAGAACTGTTTCTCTGTGTGGCCCTGGCTGTCCTGGAACACAATCTGTAGACCAGACTGGCCTCAAACCCTGATCTACCTGCTCTTCCTCCTTTTTGCTGGGATTAAAGGTAAAGGTCTCTGCCACCACTGCCCAGCTCTTTTTTTGTTTAGTTTTGGTTTTGGTTTTCCAGACAGGGTTTCTCTGTGTAGCCTTGGCTATAGACCAGCTGGCCCCGAATTTATAGAGATCCGCCTGCCTCTGCCTCCCAAGTACTGGGATTAAAGGTGTGTGCCAATGCCACCACTACCACCACCAGGCCAGTGGCATGTGTCTTTAGTCCCAGCACTCTGGAAGCAGGGCAATCTGTGAGAGTTTAATGGCAGCCTGGTCTTTATGGTGGGTTCCCGGCGAAATGGAGGCCAGGTGTCACTGTAGCCCAGGCTGGACTGGAGCTCTCACTGTGTAACTTCCTATCCCTTTTGTTCTCTTGAATACTGAGATAACAGGTATGTGCCGCCACACCCAGTTTATGGGGGGGCTAGGATGGAACTCAAGGCTTTGTACTAAGTACGCCCTCTACCAAATGAACCGCAGCCTCAGCCTTGTCTTGCTTTGTAGCCCAGGCTGGCTGAAGTTTGCAATCCTCCCAACTCAGCCTCCCCAGTGCTGTTAAAACCTGGTTTAAACTTTTCTTTAAAAAGCTCAACAGCCTCGGGTATTAGTGTTATGAGGACAACCAGGCTTGTGCACACCGGTAAGGCTCCCTCTTTCCACACATTAGCCCTAGCTAATGTGTACAACTAAACCCTGGAAACCTGGACAGTATCTCCACCTACCAACGCCAGGCTGCAATGTTAGCCAAATGGACCTCCTCCCCATCTCTAGGTCCTCAAGACTCGGCTGACCCTGCGCTTCACTGGCCAGTACAAAGGGCTTCTGGACTGTGCCAGGCAGATCGTGGAACGAGATGGCACAGGAGCCCTGTACCGAGGCTATCTGCCCAACATGCTGGGTATCATACCCTATGCTTGCACCGACCTGGCCGTCTATGAGGTGTGTGTCCTCAGAGGGGTGAGCAGTGGCTTTAGGTCAGCCAGTAGCTTTCTACCAGCCCCTTCTCTCAAAAAAAAAAAAAAAAAAAAAAAAAAAAAAAAAAAATTCTTTTTTGGATATATTTAAACCAGTATTTGTGTGCTGGGAACTGAACTTGGGTTTTCTGCAAGGGCAGCCAATGCTTTTTACTGGGGAGCTCTCTCTCTAGCACTGTTTTTGTTTGGTTGGGGTTGTTTTTGTTTTTGTCGTTGTCATCCTCCCCTTCCTACCCACACCCATCCCCTGTTCCCCAGCCCAAGACAGGGTTTTTCTGTGTAGCCTTGGCTGTCCTGCAACTCACTGTGTAGACCAGGCTGGCCTTGAACTCAGAGATCCAAAGCCTGTTGTTTTTTTTAAGACAGGATCTCACTGTGTAGCCTAGAGCTCAATATGTATGTGGCTAGCCTCAAATTTAAAGAGATCCTCCAGCCTCTGTTGCCCAGCACTAGGTTAGAAGGCATGTGGCCTCATGCTCAGCTGTATTTGAGGATGAGGTCTTAGTATGTAGCCTTGGCTGTCCCTGAATTTAGAGACCCACCAGCCTCTGCTTCAACAGTGGAGGGACTAAAGGTGCGCACCCCCATGCCTGCCTCGACGACTCTGAACCTTTTCAAGAGCACTCTTGTCTCCTTTTGCAGCTACTCCGGTACTTGTGGCAGAAGTCGGGCAGGGACATGAAGGACCCCAGTGGCCTAGTCAGCCTGTCATCTGTAACACTGTCCACGACCTGTGGCCAGATGGCCAGTTACCCACTGACTTTGGTGCGCACAAGGATGCAGGCACAAGGTCAGCCTGGCCCCAGGAGCCACTGTACGCGCCTCTCGCCCTCGGCACCCCAGCTCTCTGAATTCTCTCACCCTTCCCCAACTGTAACTCATCGGAAACCCCTTTGTAAGGACTGAAAGCATCAGAACGTAGGCTCACCCCCAATCTAATCTCAGCCCTCAAATTAACACGTCTCTATCACTTGGGAGGCCAGCCTCAGCTAACTTGCGGCTGGGGCTCTAGCTCGGCCTGGTACGACGTTACAGGAAGTCTTGAGCTCAGTTTCTAACACCAGGTAAACTGGGTGTGGTGCTGATGTCATTCCAGTAGGAGATAAAGACAAGAGGATCAGGAGTTCAAACTAGCCTCAGCTACATATGGAGCTCTAAGGAAGCCTGCCCTACATGACACCATCTCAAAATATATACACATATATAGTATTAACCAAACGATCTCTATAAAATCCCTCCAAATGTGACTCATCCTCCACGCTGACCACAGTGACATCTCCTGTCACACACAGACCTGAACTTTTCTTTTTCTGATCCCCAGACACTGTAGAAGGCTCCAACCCCACCATGCTGGGAGTCTTCAGGCGGATACTGGGCCAGCAGGGCTGGCCTGGGCTGTACAGAGGCATGACGCCCACGTTACTGAAGGTGTTGCCCGCAGGCGGCATCAGCTACCTAGTGTACGAGGCCATGAAGAAAACTCTGGGTGTACCAGTCCTGAGTAGATGACATGCCCTCAACAGGATGAGCATGGAAGGCCCAGTGTCCCTAGATCTCAAAAAGCCCTCCAAGGCTTAGGCTTTAGGGCCATTTTGGTTTACAAAAACCATCCGGGACTAGGGTTAGAACGGCGCTTGGAGTCCCTCCGGCGGAATACAGTCTGAGTTGGGATTCCAGCCTGGTTTTTGCAGGCTTGTCCAAAAGAAGGTGCAGACAAGGAATAAAGATAGTTTTGGCTGTCTGTGTCTGGGATTAGTTGGTTCTGGGTGGGGAACTAGGGGAATGAGGGTGTGGTTCAAGGAGCTTGCCTAGCATGTATGAGGTCCTAGGTTTAATTCCCACCCAGAGGGTCTGGGAGCAAGGGGCTTGGGTTCCTGTAGGGACCTGAGATTTTTGGGTCCAGACTGGGAATTCTAGGCGTCTTGGACCCCTGTAAGGACAGCTGGGACTCCTGGGTCCAGGGTCGTAACTGGAGGTTTGGAGCCCTGTGGGAACCTGGGTCCAGGGTGGGAGCAGGTTTGAGGAAGTTTGAGGAGTTGGTGCCATGAGTCCTGGAAGAAGAGCAGGCTCTAGGTTCTTCGGATGAAAGGGACATTTTTGCAAATCCCCGAGTGCTTCACCCAGTTTTGGGACACCCACACCTCGAGAAGCACCGACGCCCACGGCTTCGAGCAGGCCACGTGCAAGGCCTCCCCAAGCCAGGCTGCTGGGGCGCTGACCTAGAGGTCAGGCCGTAGTTCCGGCAGCAGCTCGCCTCCGCCCACGGCCGCTGCCATTCACTCCGGCTCCCGCTAATCCGCTCTTGCCGCCTGGTAGCCGGATCCACCCCAATGCAGGTGGCTCTCACTGGCTCCCAGCGAAACAGGGCACTATCACTTCCGTCGCTATTTGTCCATAAAGGCGTCAATCACTGAACGCTTGCCCTTGCCGCTCGAGCCATAGGCACAGAAGTCAGAGGGGCATGGATTCCGAGGAAAGCCGTCAAGTCCAAATGCGAGCGCATCACCCGCAAACGCCTCGGGGACTGGGCTAGACGACTGCTAATCCTGAGCAGCCCCGCCTTCCGCGCGTGCTCATTGGCTGGCATTCGCCGCTGTCCCACCGGGCTCACCCAGGAGCGCTTTCGCCGAGCCCGCAGGCCCACGTGACTGAGCGGAGCCGTCATTCTTCCCCTGGAGCCGCCCCGAGGCTCCGGGACGCTCGCTTCATTGGGCCTCCTGACTTCTCGCGTGACTTCCCATTGCCCGCCCAGCGCCGCCAGCCCGCGGCTCATTGAGTCCCGCCGGCGTCAGTCACCCCGCGCCGCCCGCCCCCCGCGTCTCGCGGGATCCTGACTGGCCGGCCGGGTTGACGCCACGATTGGCGGGAGTGGAGCGGCAGCCGCGTCCTACTGGCTGCTCCGCGCCGTCCGTCACGCCGGCGGCGGGAGGAGGCGCCCCTCTTCCCCCCTCGTCGTCTTCCCAGCCGCTGGCTTCCCATCGTGCTCCGCGGCCGTGTGGAGCGAGGCCTTGTTCCCGCGTTGAGCCGCCGCCGCCGCCGCCTCCTCAGCTTGAAGCCTCCGCGCCAGGCCCGTCCGCGCCGTGCCATGTCGGACTACAGCACCGGAGGCCCCCCGCCCGGCCCGCCGCCTCCCGCCGGCGGAGGAGGAGGAGCCGCGGGTGCGGGGGGAGGCCCTCCGCCGGGCCCACCGGGCGCGGGAGACCGGGGCGGCGGAGGCCCCGGCGGCGGTGGCCCGGGTGGAGGAGGCTCGTCCGGGGGCCCCTCACAGCCTCCCGGGGGCGGCGGCCCGGGGATCCGCAAGGACGCCTTCGCCGACGCCGTGCAGCGGGCCCGCCAGGTGAGAAGGCCGCGAGGGCGCGTGCGCGCGCGGGGGAGGGGGCGGGGGCGCGCGCGGGGTCGCGGGAGGGTCACGTGGGCGGCGGGCTCGGGGCGGGGAGTCTGGGGCCGTCTCGGTGTGAGGGTGACCCTCTGCGTGCTTGGACTTAGGGGGGCGCTCAAGGGGGGGGGGGTCTCGGGATTTAGACTTTGCGCTGGACCGTCCCTCGTAGGATACGATGGCTGCAGCCTTGGGGGTCCCTGAGACCCACCCCTGAACTTGCACCAGGTCTTCTCTTTTAGGATGGGTGGGTTGCAGCTTTGGAGTTCCTGAGTGCACAGGAGGCTTCCTCTAGGACCCGCAAAGGTTGCAGTCTGGGACAGTGTCCCCAAGAGCCACCTCGGCTCTCACCCATTATTTACACTCAAGACACAAGGGCTTGTATTCCAGGGGACCACTCTAGAATCCAGGAGGGTTTGTGATTTGAAGAGGTCTTCTGGCTTTGCAATGGCCTGAGCTTGAGTGTTGTGAGGGTGTCCAAGAGACACTCCTGGGTTTGCACTCAGGCACCCCTCTTAGGACTCATGAGGGCTTGGATTCTGAAGCAGGTCTGCAGGAGCCATTCCTGAGTTGATGAAAGATGAGGTCAGAGATGCTGGGAGACCTTGTGATCTTAGGGTCCCCATGAGCCACTCGGGGTTTGCAACAGTTGCATTCAAGGATGCTAGGAGAGCATTATTTGGACACATAAGAGCTCAGAATCTGAGGGAGCTCTTAAGGCTGAGCCCTAGGTTTGCATAGGGACTGAGCCTGGGCATATAGATTTAGAAGATGGGGACCCATCTTAGCACATACTTGCACCCTCCCAGAAGTTCAGCACCTGTCTTCTAGGCAGAGAATCTTGCTTTACACACCCCTCCTCCCATTTCCATATCAGAGCAGGTCCTCCAGCCATCCCGTTTCTGTCCCTTCTCTAGGTGAGGGGTGGGGAGAAGCACTTTTTTGATCTGGATGGTAAAGAGAGGCCCCTTTGTTAGCTGCTTTGCAGTGAGGTGGAGAAGGTTTGGACATGGGAACCTGTTTTTTACTGTTCAAAAGAATTGTCTGTCTCCCTTTGAGAACAGACTTGTTTTGGGAAGATGACTTGTTCTGATGTCTGCATACAGAAGTGTCTGTGCTGAGGTGGGCCAGCTCAGCTTTGCTCACAGCCCCACTCTGGTCACTTCTAGGAGTTGGGTGGGCCAGGCTTACAGCAGATGGTGGTGTCCAGGGCTTGTCCCAAGGCCTCTGGGCTAATGCTGACACCTCCCAATGTGGGAGGGCCATTGGGTTGGTGCCCTCTTCATTGTCACCTCTGCCTTCCTCGACCCAAGGTTTGGTGGCTTCTAGCATGCCTTTTCCCCCCCTCCCCCCGCTGGTCATCTCTAAAGTGTCTCAGTTAAGAAGCAGCTTACCCTGGGTGAGTGAGTGCTGTGGGGTGACACTCCCTGTCAAGGGTAAGCAAGTTTTTTGGTTTTTATAATGAAGTAGGCCAGATCCTGAATTCAGGATTTAGGGAGTGTTTGCTGGAATGGGGGTGATGTGAAGACGTTCTCTGTACACTTGAAACTCAGTGTGTGTCCCAAAGGAGCTTTTGTTGTGGTCATAATGAGATGTCAGGTATCTTGAAGGCAGAATCGTGGCTGAGATGTCTCAGGCTGTTTTTGTAAAGATGTCAAGGGACAGAAAGGTTGGCTGGACCACACTGAAGTTCTGTTTGCTGCGAAGGCCACCTGTGAGAGGTGACCCAGGAATCCCTGCCCTCCTGGACTGTTCCCTTTCCACTTAGAACAGCCTGTGGGCATGGGTCCTGGCAGTAAGGGGGAACTGGGAGCCTGCAGTTTTTAGAAAACTTGGGAGAAGTTTCTAAAAGTTTCTAGAGTGTCTATGCCTATACTTCTCCCCTAAGTCAGGCCAAGGCTGGAGACAAACTTGAGGGTTGCTTGGGATGGTAACTCATTTATATTTCCAACCCCTCACTAGATTGCAGCCAAAATTGGAGGTGATGCCGCTACCACCGTGAATAACAACACTCCTGATTTCGGTTTTGGGGGCCAAAAGAGACAGCTGGAAGATGGAGGTAACTGCTGGTGATGATGGTGCCTGGCTCTCACCTGTGAGGGAGGCCTGGGACTGCAAGTAGCACTTGGTCCCAGTGGGGCTGCAAAACCGGGGAGTCCCACCAGCTTTTTGTTCCACCTGCCACCCTTAGGTATCAGGTAGCTGGGCATATTATGACAAGGGAAAGTCATAGGTTCTCAAGATTGCTCCTTCCCTATAGGAGACTGACACACAAGCATCACCAAAGTGGCTCTTAAACAGAACAGTTATTCCCAGATCAGATCTGACTGTAATCTGGAAGGCCCCTGTGATCTCACTAATGTTCACTTGTCAAAAGTGAACTTTGTCACTCTGGGGTGGGTGAACGACTTGGGTATGTTGCCCCTTTCTGGGCCAGCACCTTCCAACCCTCTCGGCTGTCAGCGGGACTAGTAGTGACTATGCCTGGAACATGCCGCACCAGCTTTGGGGTTGAGGCGGTGCAGGTGGGTGGTGTCGCATCTGACAGTCTCTCTCATCCACAGACCAGCCAGACAGCAAGAAACTGGCTTCCCAGGGAGACTGTAAGTCCACTGGGTGTGTGGGCATGGGGGCATTGGGAATACTGGGGTCCAGGAGATCTGTATGCAGTGGCTCGCTAGGTATAAGGGTCTTCAAGCCTGTCGAAATTGAAACAAAAGTCCTAGAGGCAGGCTTTTATGGGGAGAGGCCACAGGGTCTTCAGGATGTAGATCCAGGCACAAAGCCATGTTGTGGGTACCATTTGCCCGTGGTGCAAGCAGGGTTATCGTGGGTTGGGCTTGTGTGGCCTGGATAGATGCTAAGCTAGACTCTTGCTTTGAATTTCTCTCCCCAGCTATTGGTTCTCAACTGGGACCCATCCATCCTCCCCCCAGGTAAGCTGTTCACTGGCCTCCTGCTGTCTCTGGTTTGGGGTCTGGCATGGAGGCATCTCTGGAGCTAGGAGAAACTGGCAGCCCTGGGGAAGGGGTGCACTTGTGTCCATGAGTGTGCTCTGTGAAGGGGGATAGTTTGTGGCCACTAGAGCAACATGGTTCTACGCAGGAGCATGGTCAGATGCTCCCAGGGTAATCAGAGCCTTTAGGTATGTGCTGCTGTCGGGCTGCCTAAGATTGCCTGGGATGAATATGACCCCAGGTTGTTGAGACAGGCCACTGGTTCTCTTTGAATGGGCCTGTAGTTTCATGAAATAGAGTAGACACCAACTAGAGACTAGAACTGTGTGACAAGCCCCCTTTTTACTGATGTCTAGACTGTTAGCAAGGTATGCAAATATCCAAGGTGGGGAAGCTGTAACTTAGCCAATAGAGTACTCACCCTGAGTTATCTCCCCAATACTCTGCCTGGAAAAAGTGAAAAAGCACAGGCAAGTTACCATACATTTGTCATCTTAGTACTTGAGAGGTGAAGGAAGGGGAATTAGGAGTTCAGAGCCAGCCTGAGCCACGTGGAATTGTCTCCAAAACATTCAATGTTGTTGTTTTTTTTTTTTTTTCTTTTTTTTTTTTTTTTTTTTTTTTTTTTCTCTTAGCAAAGGAAATGGGATTGCCATGGGCCACTTGTAGACTTTTGGATGTCCTCAAGCTTCTCTCTGGCCCTGAGGCCATTGACCTTGTGTTGTTGGTAGCAGGACATGCAGCAAAAGTCCTGGGCCTTCAAGGCCCAAGCCTCTGTCTCCTGGAGAGCTGGGATCTCTAGCTGAAGGCTGATGTTGAGTGTCTCTTCCCACAGGACATCCATGACAGAAGAGTATAGGGTTCCGGACGGCATGGTGGGCTTGAGTGAGTGTGGGTCCCCATGATTAGGGTGGGGCTTGCAAGCCTTTGGCTGCCTTAGGCCAAGGGTTTTCTGGTGGTGTCCAAGGGACTGCTGTTGGGAAGCCTTGGTCTGGGTGCCCTTACTTGGCCTTCACCTTTCTTTTCTTTCCACCCAGTCATTGGCAGAGGTGGTGAGCAGATTAACAAAATCCAGCAGGACTCGGGCTGCAAAGTTCAAATCTCACCAGGTACGTGGGAGCCCAGGGCAGAGCTGGCTCCGCTGGATGGGTGCTCCCATCCAGCATAGCACTGTCATAGCAGGCGCTGCACTGACTGTCATCAGGGTGGGTGATGAATGCCTTTGCTCCATGTCCCTGCCCCTTGTTTTCCCTCTTTGCATGTGGGGTGGCCGAGAGGATTGTGGACTTGGTCATGGAAGCACCTCTTTCCAGGTGGCAAGTTCATTGCCATCACCTTAAAGTGCCATAGGATAGAAATTAGTGCTGCAAAAAAGCAGCATTGCAGGGTAAGCCTGGCTCTGAGGCTGCCTGGACCTGCACTTGTAGACTATGTGCATGGGGGCTTGCTTAGAATTCTCCCTTCAGACTTGAGCCAGGGTCCCAGGTGCTGCTAGGAGAAATCCTAAGCTGATTTCTGGAATCTCCTTCCCCCTCACTAATCTATCCTCTTGCTTTGGCTGCTTGGGTTGATGGGAGTATGGCGCTCTGCATGTCTGACTCCTAAGTTCCATCTTTTCCAGTGGGTTTTTAAGAAACAGTCTTCCTGGTGTCTTGTGGAGAGTGAAGTGATTTGTAGAAGAGGGCCACAGGCTGTTCTGAAAGTTTCATATCCCCACAGTAGCAGTAGCCCTCTGGGCATTGAGCCTCTCTTCTTCTCTGCAGATAGTGGTGGCCTCCCTGAGCGAAGCGTGTCCCTGACTGGAGCCCCCGAATCTGTCCAGTAAGTCCCCAGCTGGGTCTCCTGCAGGAGTCAGTGACACCTATGTGTGTCCTTCCCACCTGACCTGTCCCGAGAGCTGTGTGGACAAGTTGACACCCACTCTCAATCCTGAACAGCCCCAGGTCTTTGGCACCTGCCAGATGACTTACCTGAGCCGTGTGCTCCAGGTACACACTCTGAATGCCACCGTTTCCTCCCCAGAAAGGCAAAGATGATGCTGGATGACATCGTGTCACGGGGCCGGGGAGGCCCCCCAGGACAATTCCATGACAACGCCAATGGAGGTCAGAACGGCACGGTGCAGGAGATCATGATCCCTGCTGGCAAGGCTGGCCTGGTCATTGGCAAAGGTGGGGAGACCATCAAGCAGCTGCAGGTGCGTGGTGGCACAGGCACTAGTCCCCACAGTTCCCTGCGACCCCAACAGAGTCCACATCTGACAGGCACTTATATTGCAGGAGCGTGCTGGGGTTAAGATGATTTTAATTCAGGATGGCTCCCAGAACACAAATGTGGACAAGCCGCTGCGGATCATTGGGGACCCATACAAAGTTCAGGTGAGTGCCCAGACAACATGGCCTCCAGAAGGCTCCGCTGTCCGGCTTTCCCTGGGGTAACAGCCCTCTTAAGGCATTGTGCAGCTCCACAGGGATGTGGGGGACCCTCACAGGTGCCAGGAGGTGGGTGCTGAGGCAGCACACTTGCCCACGCCCACTGCCCAGTGTGGTGTGTTCACAGCAAGCTTGTGAGATGGTGATGGACATCCTGCGAGAACGTGACCAGGGTGGCTTTGGGGACCGCAATGAGTACGGATCGCGGGTCGGCGGAGGCATTGATGTGAGTATAGGCACTCCAGAGAGGTTGGCAGCAGGGGCCAGGGCAGAGCTGGGGCCATACTGGGTCACCCTATGCCTTCTGGTCTCCAGGTGCCTGTACCCCGGCATTCAGTTGGTGTGGTTATTGGCCGGAGCGGAGAGATGATCAAGAAGATCCAGAATGACGCCGGTGTACGCATCCAGTTCAAGCAAGGTGAGGGGTGGGTGCCACCTTGGCCCAGGCATTGGCCATGTCCCAGCTCTCACCGTTTCTCTAAAATTGCTTTGTTAGTTTCTGTGGATCCCCGAGGTGGGAGGACACTCAAGCTGCTACTCTTAAGTGGGTGGGCATGTCCTGAGAAATAGGGCTTCCTGCTTGCCCGCATAGAGGCAACAGATCAGGGGCGCTGGGCTCTGAGGGCACGGTCTTTGAGGGAGCATGGCTGTGCTTTGAGCGGGATCTTTTTCTTGGTGTGGATGTCAGATGATGGGACCGGCCCCGAGAAGATTGCTCACATCATGGGGCCCCCAGACCGGTGTGAACATGCAGCCCGGATCATCAATGACCTCCTCCAGAGTCTTCGCAGTGGGCCCCCAGGTCCTCCAGGGGCCCCTGGCATGCCCCCTGGGGGCCGTGGTCGAGGCCGAGGCCAAGGCAACTGGGGCCCTCCTGGAGGGGAGATGACCTTCTCCATTCCTACCCACAAGTGTGGACTGGTCATCGGCCGAGGTGAGTCCCCAAGGCTCTGCCCGTCCCCTGCCTGGCTCTGTACTTGCTAGCACGTCACTAACCATGGTCTCACAGGTGGTGAGAATGTGAAGGCCATTAACCAGCAGACAGGCGCCTTTGTGGAAATATCTCGGCAGCTGCCACCGAATGGAGACCCCAATTTCAAGTTGTTTGTCATCCGAGGCTCGCCCCAGCAGATTGACCATGCAAAGCAGCTCATTGAGGAGAAGATAGAGGTGGGTTCCATGGGGTGCTGGTGAAGGTGCCCCCCCCCCCCCTTTGGATTGCTCACTGCAGCTGCCACTTTTTTCCTCAGGGTCCCCTCTGCCCAGTTGGACCAGGCCCTGGCGGACCAGGCCCCGCTGGACCCATGGGACCTTTCAATCCTGGACCCTTCAACCAGGGGCCTCCAGGGGCACCTCCACAGTGAGTACTCCTTGGCTTCCTGGGTGGTGGGGCCTGGCACAAGAAGGGACAGGTCCTTTCTCGCCTCTGCCTCTCAAGCACAGGAGTAGCAGCTGTGTGCAGGCCAGTGTGGTGGCTGTCATGAGAGACCTCACTGCCTTTGTCCCCGTCTTGTTCCTGTGTCAGCCACAGTCTTCAGTGTTGGTAGGAGCTTGTTTTCCCACCCTTGAGCCAACTCTCATGGACCTTCTCTCCTTCCTACAGTGCTGGCGGGCCCCCTCCTCACCAGTACCCGCCTCAAGGCTGGGGCAACACCTACCCCCAGTGGCAACCGCCTGCCCCTCATGATCCAAGTAAGTGTCAGCACATAGGAAATTAAGGGGGTGACACCAGGCCGGCTACTGCGTCATCTCTCAACCGAGATCTCTTCCTGTAGATAAAGCTGCCGCCGCGGCTACAGACCCCAATGCTGCCTGGGCCGCCTACTACTCCCACTATTACCAGCAACCCCCAGGCCCTGTGCCAGGTCCTGCCCCAGCCCCTGCAGCCCCACCTGCGCAGGGGGAGCCCCCCCAGCCTCCACCCACTGGCCAGTCAGACTACACCAAGGCCTGGGAAGAGTATTACAAGAAAATTGGTAAGTTCAGTGCCACGTAGCAGTGGGGTATCTTGTACGTGGTCTGGCTTCCTTGACACTCTCCCTTTCTCAGGCCAGCAGCCTCAGCAGCCTGGAGCACCCCCACAGCAGGACTACACCAAGGCCTGGGAGGAGTACTACAAGAAGCAAGGTGAGCTGCTGGCTGGGGCCAGGGGAAGGGCTGCCAGCATAGAGGCGCGTTCTGCCAGCCACTCATTGTCCTCTTTGTGCCCACAGCACAAGTGGCCACTGGCGGGGGTCCTGGAGCACCCCCTGGCTCCCAGCCTGACTATAGTGCCGCCTGGGCTGAGTATTACAGACAGCAGGCCGCTTACTACGGACAGACCCCAGGCCCTGGTGGCCCGCAGCCACCTCCCACCCAGCAGGGACAGCAGCAGGCAAGTGGGAACTGCCACCCTCCTCCTCCTCCTTTCTCCTTCCAACCCCCGGCCACCGTCCATCCTGCCTTAGTGGGTAGCGCCGGAAACCCTTTCCCCTGCGGGGTGTGTCCTTGATGCCAGCCTCGGGCGCGTGGCCAGAGTCTCCCGGAGCCCCGCAGCCCCGCCGCTGGGAAGCGCCCGCTGGGTGCAGAGGCTCACGGAAGAGGCTCCTCCGGCAGCCGCTGTTGGTGCGAAGTTGTTGGGTGCTGGGGGCACCGGCCGCAAAGGTGGAACTCTGAACTGCTGGGGTGTCCCGGGTGGGGGCAGGACGTGGGGACTGCGCTGGGTGCCACGCCGGTTGCTGAACCCACTCGCTCAGAATCTGGCCACTTGGGAAGAAAATGTCTATTTTTTTCCCCCCCTTCTCAGCATCACTATTTTGGGTTTTGTTCTTTTTTACTCTTTTATTTTTTTAAAGCCACCATCTTTATCCCCCATGTCCAAGTAACTGTGTTACAGGCGGCCCTGGCTCTGCTGGGATGAAGGGGAGCCCACTGAGGGGACTGGGCCCTCCCTCCCTGGTGAGGCCACCTCTCGTGTGCTTGCCTCTGTGTCCCGGTCTTGTCTGTGAAGTGGGCATGACGATCGTTGCCACCTTCCAACCTACCTCACAGGGGTGTTGTGGGGACACCGTGATCTGAATGTTGTGACGCCGAGCCGCCTCCCTTTCCTGCCCCTCTCCCCACCCTGGCACTTGTCCCCTGTGCGGCCCCCTCCACACCTCCGGCTTCTGCTGCAGACCCCTCCCCTTCCTCCTCCTGCTCCTCCTCCTCCTTTTCCTCTTCCTTTTCCTTCTCCTTTTCCTCTTCCTCCTCCTGCTTCTCCTCTACCAAGGAGCAGTCTGACTTCAGCAGAGTTCCCAAGACAGACAGTCACAGCCCCCTGCTTGGCCTGTGTTGGCTTGGGCCCGGCCTTCTGGCCTGCTGCCTGGAGTCGCAGCCTCTTGTAGCCCGGCCGCCCTCCTGCCATGACCATTCCTGTCTCTCCCTCTCCACAGGCAAATGAAGCAAATGGATGTGAACTTCATCTGTGAAAATATTTTTTTTTCCTCCATTTTTGTTCCATTTGGGGGCTTCTTTTATTGGTTTCTATATTTGATTGGTTTGGTGAGAGAGCAACGGCTGTCTGGGGTGCAGGGGGTCCCCCTCATGCTGAGGCGCTCCCTCTCTCTCATTCTATGTGTCTCACATCTTTTTCCTTCCAAAATCGGGATCCTTCATGTTAAGCCAGCCTTAGAAAATAGTGAGAATTTAACCTCTGCCAAAAAAGAAAAAAAAAGTTTAAAAATTAAATCACAAAGAGCAGAACAAAACCTATAAAATGATATATATATAGAAATATATAAATCTCTATCCCCGAGCCTCCGAGCCCACCCCTCTGAGGGAAGTGGTTCACTTTCTCCCTACTGCCCAGGGCCCTATTCTTGTTTTTAAATAAACTTTTTAAAAGGAAAGAAACAGTCACTCTTGCTATCTCTTTTTCGTTTTTTTAGTTAGAGTTGGAACATTCCTTGGACCAGGTGTGGGTATCGCAGGCTCCTCCTGCCCTGCCCATCTCTATGTCTCTTCTCCCCCTCCCCTTTTCTCCCCCCTGCTCTTCCCTGGCTCTGCCTTGTACCCACCCCAACCCCAGGACTGGCCTGGTACGTTGTCATCTGTTGAAGATGAGATAAACTGAGAAAAAAAATGAGAACAATACAAAAAAAATTGTATGGCAGTTTTTACTTTTTATCGCTCGTTTTTAACTTCACAAATAAATGGTAACAAAACCTCCCTGTGTCGTGTTGGCTGCCGTCTGTTCGTCTCTCCTGCCCTTCAAGTAGGCTTCCAAAGCAGATGTGTGTTGCTGCTATCCAGGCGTCGGAAACAACTCTGGTAGTGGTGACTAGGGACAGGAAGCTGTGGGGAGGGCCGTGTGTGGGCATGTGCTTTCTTAACCTCCCTTTTGTTGAGTGACCAGGGTGGGGAAGGTGGGAGTAGGGTGCAGCCCCTGAGACGGCCTTTCCTTTTAGGGCCCCAGCTATCTCTGTACTCTTCCCTTTGGGGCTTGAGGAACCAGGCGCTGAGGACGGTCCCCAGGGCTCATGTTCCCATGGATGTAGCCACACTTGTCACTAAGGCTGCCTCGTGAAAGCATCCCATTGGGGCACCGGCCCAACAAGCCTGTGTGGCTAGTACTGGAGAGTAGAGGCCAGGCCTGGATGAGTGATACTGTGAGAGTGGACAGCACCAAGGGCTCTGAGGCAGTGTGGGGTTTGTCGTTTGGTTTGGGTTTTTGGGGGTGGTTGCTTGGTTGGCTGGCTGGTTTGGTTTGGTTTTATGTACCCTAGGCTATCCTGGACTTGCTTTGTAGACCAGGCTAGCATCCAACTCAGAGATCCTCCTGCCTCTGCCTCCCCAAGTGCTGGGATTACAGGTGTGTGCTGGGTCTGGCGTGAAATTCCCTTTTGTGATCAAAATCTGTCAGGGCCAGGGTGGTGGCCCAGCAGGTGAAAGTGCTGGCCCCAAAGCCAGGTGCAGTAGCTCTCTGCCAGATGAAGGGTTTGTGGGCTAGAGCAGCAGGGACAAAACCCACTCTCCAAAGCTGCCCTCAGACTGTGCAAACCAGGGTCCACACGAAGCAGTGACCGCTGCCTCTAGGTGAAGTTGGTTTCCCTCCAGCTGGGCTACTTACGGGTCTGCCCATGAGGGGCCCTGTTAGCACCAAGGTCTCACCTCAGGTCTGGGTCCTGTGTGCTGTGGGGAAGTGGGTAAAGCCAGAGGATGGCCTCTCCCTGGCTCACTGCAGACTCTCAATGACTGAACAGCACTTGGCAAAAATGTTTTCAGGGGCTCCTTCAGCCAATATCTAGGGGAGAGGAAGCCAAAGGATCAGGAGGGAGCCCATGGCACAATCTGCTCCATCAGCCCCTCTGGCAAGCCCTGATGAAAGCAAGTTTGCAATCTGGGTGTTGTCCCAGGTCCTGTGACAGTGATTATTGGGGGCCGGTGTCATGGAAGAAAGTGGAGACTCGTATGGGCCCAGGAAGCAGGAAAAGGCAGTCTGCCATATTTGCTTCCAATGGGAATAAGGACACCACCAAAGTCCCTTATCTTCTACAGACCCTTGTGCTAATCACCCTGAGCCAGATGTGTGGGCAGTGCCAGGGCTTCACAGCTATGCAGGTGGCAGTGTTGGGGACCCCACTGTAGCTTTCAGGAACTGTGAGAATGAGGTAAGAATTACATGAGTTCAAGGCCAGCCTGAGCTACATGAGGCCTCAGCCTGTGCTCACCTGAAAAAATGGAATCCCCCTCATTACAGACTGGGGAAAATGGCAAACCCCAAGCTGGCTAAACAGGGCTCACTTCCAGGTACCCACATGGCGCAGAAGGTTCTTTTGCTGGTAGAAGGTCAGAACAGGCTCACATAGGGTATAGTGTGTCTCCAGACGCTTGCGGATGGCTGGCTCGGAGTCATCTGCCCGGTGCTCCACCCGTCCTCTTTGTAGCACTCTCCGCACCATGGTCTCCATGGAGCAGTCAAACACTATGACTATGTCGGGGTCCCTGCCCACCTAGACAGCAACCAACAGGAGAGGGTGAGGAGAGGGCCTTCCACCCGTTCCTAAGAGGCCAGGAGGGTAGTCTACTGATGGAGTGTGTGTGTGTGTGTGTGTGTGTGTGTGTTGCGCTAGCGTGTACACCCAGTGCTTGTGGAGGCCAGAAGAGGGCATCAGGTCCCTTGCAGCTAGAGTACAAATAGTAGTGAGCCGCCTACGTGGATGCTAAGAACTGAGCTCAAGTCTTCTGCAAAAGCAATATATACTCTTTTAAACATTTTTGAGCTGAGCATTGTGGCTCAGGCCTTTAGTCGAAACACTCGGGAGATAGGCAGGAGGATCTCTGAATTCGAGTCCCAGCCTGGTCTACAGAACGACCTTTGAACTACAGGGCCTTGAACTTCCAGAGACCTGCCTGCCACTGCCTCCCAGTTGCTGAGACTGAAGGTAAAGGCTTCCACCAACACTTGGCACAATACATGCTCTTGACTGCTGAACCATCTCCCCAGCCTGCAACCTTGTCTTTTGAGGCAGGGTCTCTCGCTGGCCTAAAATTTTACAAGTAGTTTAGGCTAAATCCTGTCTCCCTCATAAAGAGCTGAGGTGAAGTACCCACACCACATCTAGGTTTTTGTGGTGCTCGGGTACCCCTAAGTTTGCTTTTTAAGATTGGTCTCCTCGTGTCAGCCCAGCTGTCATGGAACTCTGATCTTTCTGCCTCTAAAGCTGCAGTCACACGTGTGCTCAGCCACACTGGGTGTGCTGTTTTCTATTTTACTTATTTTAATCCTTTTTTTTTTTTTTTGAGATGAGGTCATTTTGTATACACAAATCTGGCCTTGAACTTGCATTTCTTCTGCCTCAGCATCCTGAGTATTGATACCATTTTATTTTCTCTCTCCCTCCTCTCTCATTCTCCTTCCTCCTCTCTGGCCAGGAACTCAGAGAAGTCCACCTGCCTCCGTTTCCCAGGTCCTGGTACTAAACGAATATGTGCTACCTCACCTGCCCCCAATTTTCCCTCTTTCTTTTGAATAGGGTCTCATGATGCCAAGGCTAACCTTGTATTCCCTATGTAGTCCAGGATGACCCTTGATCCTTCACATCCCCAGTCCAGTGTTGGGACGACAGCTGTGCACCACCATGCTTGGTTTCTTGCTTGCCTTGGGGTCAGGGACACCACCCAAGTCCTTATCATCCATACACCCTTCAGCTGACACTAATGGGGCTTCACTTCCACACAAATATGAGAGGCACAGGCCCTCCCCTGAGCCTAGGCCCACCTATCTAAGGCTCTATTTGCAGTGGTGGGAAGTGCCGCTGCCCCTTCACTGGCCCCTCCCTTTAGGCAGCAAAGTCACCTCTGCCTGGACCTCCAACAGTAGTGGCACCAGCATGTATGGTTCTGGTAGTTCATCCTCTTCCTTCCCTCTCTCTTTCCTTCCTTCCCTCCCTCTCTTCATCCCTCCCTCCTTCCTTCCTTCCCTCTTTCCCTCCGTCTCTCCTTCCCTCCTTCCGTCTTCCCCTCCTTCCCTTTCCTTCCTCCCTTCCTCCTTCCCTCCTTCCTTCCTCCCCTCCTTCCCTCTTTTCTTTCTTCCTTTCATCCTTCCTTCCTTCCTTCCCTCCTTCAGTCTTTCCTTCCTTCCTCCTTCCCTTCTTCCCTCATTCCTTCTTCCCTCCCTCCTTCCTCCCCTCCCTCCTTCCCTCATTCCTTCCTTCTTCCCTCCCTCCTTCCTTCCTTCCCTCCCTCCTTCCTTCCCTCCTTCCTTCCCTCCCTCCTTCCTTTACTCCCTCCTTCCTTCCTTTCCTCCTTTCCTCCTTCCTTTCTTCCTTTCTTTATTACTGGATAAAGGAGAGGCCTGTGGGGAAGTCAAAGGACAACTTTGCGAAGGCTGTTCCCCTCCACCTTGATGTGGATTCTGGGTTAGAACTCAGGTTGTCAGGCTTGGCAGCAAGTATTTTAACCTACTGGCCCTTCTTCGTCCTTTTAAACATATTTCTAAGTCTATATCTATTTATGTGTGCTACACATATGAGTGCTGGTGCCCACAGCGGCCAGAGGTGTGGGGTGCCCATGGAGCCACCTGAAGATGGCTCGGAACTGAAACTCAGGTCCTCTGGAAGAGCATTGCTCTTAGCTACTGAGCCATCTTTCCAGCCAAAATTGTTCCTCTTTCCCTTCTTCAATTTTTTTCCTGTCTGATTTTGAGACAGGGAGTCTTCTCTGTGTAGCTCTAGCTGTTCTAGAACTTTGTGGACCAGGCTAGCCTCAAACTCAAAGAGATTCACTTGCCTCTACCTCTTGAATGCTGGGAATAAAGGTGGGTGCCTAGCCCTTTATCTAAAGAGCTTTTTTTTTTTTTTTTTTTTTTTTTTAATCTTTTTATCTAAAGATGTTTGGCCTGTGCATTTCCTCACAGGATGGAGACCATGGCTCCATGCTGGCACACTTGTATTTCCTGGTTCCTTTTAACAACTAGTCATCCATAGGTTCAGACACCTTAGATAAGAGAATCTACTTGATGTCAGTGCTGGGATTGTCTAAAGCTGCCCATATCCTCCACACCTCGCCCAAGCACACTTCACCAGAGCACCTGATAAAACTGCCACAGCTCTTCTGCTCAAAGCAAGTTTGTCTGGGTTCAGTACAGGGGCAAGCTTCTTCCCTAAATATATCTTCTTACATGTATGCATTCTGTTCATGTCATGCACACGTCATAGTGTGTGTGTTGAGGTGGCAGACACCCCACAGGAGTCAGCTCTCCCCTTCTACCATGTGGGTTCAGGAATCAAACTCATGTCCTCAGGCTTGGATACAAGCCCATTACCTGCTATGTACTCTAGTCCTGATGTTTTTATGTGCTTCATTTCATGTTTGGACATGGGACTTGCAGGAACCAGGGCCAGTATATCCAACCCAGGAAAACAAAGCTGTGTCTGCAGAATGCATCCCTGAATCACACCCCAAACCCCCACTTAAAAACCAAAAACCGGGGCTGGAGAGATGGCTCAGTGGTTAAAAGCATGGGCTGTTCTTTCAAAGGACCCGAGCTCAATTCCCAGCACCCACATGGCAGCTCGTAACTGTCTATAATTAACGGTCGCAGGAGATCTGACACCCTCACACAGACACGCATGAAGGAAGATCACCAATGTAATAAAATACACTTTAAAAAAATCAACTAGGCAGTGGTGGCACATGCCTTTAATGCCAGCATTCAGAAGGCAGAGGCAGAATTTGAGGCCAACCTGGTCTACAGAGCTAGTTCCAGAACAACCAGGGCTACACAGAGGAACCCTGTCTCAGAAAAGATGCATTCTGTGTGGGTGTCACAGAGTGCACCCATGCACAGTTAGGGCTGCACCATGGCTTGGAGATCCATACTTGTCCTCAGAGAGGACCTGGATTTCATTCCCAGCATCTACATGAGGGCTCACAGCCATCCTAAATTCAGTTCCAGGGGATCCAACGCCATCTTTAGACCTAGACCACAAAGGGCACCGGACATGTCTGCGGTGGACATACACGCATGCAAGCAAAACACTCATATCCATAAATTTAAATATCAAAAAGCAAGGCCTTAACTGTTGTCTGTCCAGCCTGCTATGCTGACGCGTGCCTGTGTTCTTAGCCGTCAGGACGCCTGCAGGGACTTCCGAGTCAGCCTGGCTACATAGATACTCTCTCCAGAAACAAGAAAAAAAAAAAAAAATACGAGCCAGCTGGCCAGTGCGGTCTTACTTCTGTCAGCCCAGCACTGGGAAGTGGAGGCAGGAACATCGACCTCTCAAGGTCATCCTTAGGTACTTGAAGAGTTGGAGGCTAACCTGGGCTACATGGGACACTGAACACTGAGCAAATGTCTGCAAGCTCAGGACCGAGGCTGCTCCGGTCCCTCACTCCAGCCCGCAGCTCCCTTTGGGTTGCACGGCTTCACGCTTTAAGAAACTGTGACCGTATTTAAACAAGGGGGCTGCTTCTGCCGCACAGCTCCTGGCTTTCCCTAAGCCCCACTGGCTTGGTAACGTGGGTCCTGCGCGTCCCCATGGCAACAGCAGTGTGAATGCTTCCTGAGCCCATTGGCAACACTCCGCATGGATAAATTCACGCTCTGGAATCTTCCACGGGCTGGTACCATCAGCATCCCAAGTTTTCTTCTCATGCATGTGTTGGTGAGTGTGAGGCCAGAGGTCAGCCCGCCTCGGTGCCTTCCTCGATGGTTCCCTACTTTAAGATTTTAAAGAAGATGTGTGTGTGTGTGTGAGCATTTGCCTGGTGAGCTTATGCACACAGAAGCCTGAGGGGCCAGGAGAGGGCATCAGATCCCCTAAAGCTGGAGTCACAGGTGGAATGAGCCATCCTAGAGAAGCTAGGGACTGAGCTCAAGTCCTCCACAAGAGCAGAAAGCGCTCTTACCTGCTGAGCCTCTGTTTTGTTCAAATTTTTTTTTTTGTCCAATTTTTACTGTTTGTTTGAGGCAGGATCTTTCTGTGGAATTCCCAGCTGAACTCCATATGTAGCCTAGGCTGGCCCAGAAATCACAGCTCTCCTGCCTCAAAGGATCCAAGTGCTGGGATGACAGGTGTGTGCCTCTATTCTCGTTACTGATCCATAAAAATTAATCCAATGTGCAGGCTGGGCGGGGCACGTGGGTAGGGGGCTTGCCCAGCATGCCCAAACCTCCGGCTCCACCCTTAGCACACAAACCAGGTGTGGTGGCACAGGCCTGCCATCCCAGCACCCCAGAGGTGGAGAAAGGAAGATCAGGAGTTCAAGGTTAGCCTCTCCTACATTACAGAGTTTGAGATCAGTGGAGGCTATATGAGAGTGGGGAGGGGAGAGGAGGAAAGGAAGGAAGGGCCCGTCTCCCAGCCTCAGCGTTGGGAGACAAGACACCCAATGCTGAGGCTGGGAGACAGACACCCACTAGGGTTTTATGGGAGGTGGAGAGCGTGGCCTGGAACCTCCACACAGGGAGGGCACACACAAGGATGGTCTGGCTCTGGGGGCAGGTCACTCACAAGCCGCTCAAACTCTTTGGCCTGTTCCAGCTCTCTGGGGAAGCCGTCGATGAGGAAGCCTGGGCTTTCAGGATGACACAACAAGTTGTCACTGACCATGTCCAGAATGAGAGCCTGGGAAGGAAAGGGCATGCACTCAGGACAGTACCCTAGGGGGCCCCGCCCCTCCAGAGAGGCCAGGAGCTTCATCATCAGAGAAACAGGACCCAGCACCTGAAACGCTGGCTTCCTTTGTGCTTGCGTGCTTTTGAAATCATTTGGGATATTTTTGATTGTGTGTATGTCTGTGTTGGCATATGTTCAGGTGGATGGAGGTGCCTCACTGGCCACAGATGTAGGACGCTGCTGGGGCTGGATTTACAAGCAGTCGCAAGCCACCTGGAAATCAAACGCATGTCTACTGTAGCAGCTGATCCGCCTCAGCAGCAGCTAGGCATGTAGCCCAGGCTGGCCCTCACTTCAGAGACTCCCTTTCGTCTGCCTTCCGAGTGCTTGGCTCTTTTATCTTCCTTCCCGTTACTCCAACCCTCATTCACACCCCTACACTGAGCCCAAGGCCTCACAAATACTAGGCAAACCGTTGTTCACGGAACTAGGCTCTCAGACCTCATATTTTGTTTTAGAGAGAGCCTCACTTAGTCCAGGCTGGCTTGGAACTCACTCTGTAGACCATGCTGGCTTCAGGGTCAGAGCTCCAACTGCCTCTGTCTCCCAAGCATGGGGATTAAAGGTGTGAGCTGCCAAGTCCAGTGACCTTTGCCTTCTCTTGCCCCCAGCTCCCCAGGTGCAGGCATGCCCCACCTTGCCCATCAGACATTGTCAGGCTCTGCCCGACAGCTTACCTCACACACCATCAGTTCTAGGCAAATGGCTATACTTTGCTGTGTAAGGGAGGAAGTGTCTGCTCAGCAATTTGCTCCCTGTACATTTTCAGTAGGGTCCACTGATTATGTGGGTACAGCAGTTGCTTTGTTTAAGTAATTTATTTAACTAGGGTCTGTGTAACCCAGGCTGACCTCAAACTCCCCATCTTCCTGGTTCAGCCTTCCAGTTACTGGGATGGCAGGTGTTCTTGCCACTTCATCTGGCTTTCTTTATCCCTCCCTTCCTCCCCTATTTGTTCCCCCTCCCCATAGATAGCCCCTCATGTATTCCAGGCTAGATTCTTTGGGTTTCTCTGTGTAGCCCTTACTGTCCTGGAACTAGCTCTGCAGACCAGGCTGGCCTTGAACTCACAGAGATCTGCCTGCCACTGCCTCCAGAGTGCTGGGACTAAAGGCGTGTGCCACCAGGCCCTGCACAGGCTAAATTCTTATGCATTTATTAGCTCTTTTTGAAAAGGCTATTAGATCTCTTTATTATTTATCTGCTTGGGGAAGGGTGGTGGGTGCCACCTGAAGGAGTCAGCTCTCTCCTGTCATCATGAAGGTCCCAGGGATTGAACTCAGGTTGTGAGGCTTAGCTGTTAAGTTCCTTCACCCACTGTGCCATCTCTCTGGCCCCTGGTATGGATTGTCTGTGTAATCAAGGATACCCCAGGGACTCCTCATCCTCCTGACTCTGCCTCCCAAGGGCTGGGTTCTCCCGGCTTGCACCCAGTTTTTTCAGTGTTAGGGACAGGACAGGACGTGGTGCATGCTATGTGAGTGCCTTTTGTTTTTTGTTTGTTTTGTTTTGTTTTGTTTTGTTGTCTTTTGGTATGAGTGTTTGCCTGTATGCAGAGCCCTCAGGAGAGAACCAGAAACCCCGGAAGGAGAGTTATAGTTGCTGGCCGCCATTTTGGGTGCTGGGTACCAAACCCAGGTTCTGGATAGGAGCAGCCAGTGCCCTTAACCACCACATCCTCACAGCCTTTTCAGATAATGACAGTGTCGGCACAGCAAAGCAGTGGCTGGGCCAGGAGAGCCTGGCTTCCTGGAGGCTGTTCTGCCGGCCGGCCACCCTCTCCCTCGAACTCTCACCATGGGCACCAGGAGTCCTTGCTGCATGATGTTCCGGATCTGCCGGCCCCGCTGGGTGCTCCTCTGAGCCTCCTCCCGCAGCAGCTGGCCCAGCCCCACGTGGCAGAAGCCGTATTTGGCAGCCATATTTTTGCACTGGGTCCCTTTCCCGCAGCCTGGGCCCCCCACCACGAAGATGATCAGACGGTTCTTCAGGGCTTCTATGGGTGTTCAGGGAAGAAAGAGTGGGTACTAGCGTGTGTCCTTAGGGCACCCTGGCCTCGTACTGCAGGACGCCATTGATGGGATTCTGAGCAGGCCCCTGGCCATTTGCACAGACCTCCTTGAAGCGCTCCAGCGACTCCCTCAGCCCATTTAACATAATGACAGATAATGAAAGAGGATGGTCTTAAACTCACCCAGGGCGCCCTGCTCCGCCCACCGTGCGGTCGGTTCCATCCTGCCTACCTGTCCCTCTAGCCACACCACTCCCAGGCGTGCTGAGGTAAAAGCTTTCTTGCCCTTTCCTCTCCCTGCCTCAGACTCTCATGTCCTCCACAGTCAGCCACGGTTCTTTCTCGCTTTCTACTCGCTGTGGTCTTTGTAGCCAGCCTCTGTAACTCGAGGGGCACGGCTCCCGCCCCCCCACCCCTCATGAGGCAATGAAGGTCTCCGCTACCAGCCACATCTGCGGAGTCAGTAGTTTATGGTTCAATGTCTGTGTCTCCCTTTTCCTTTGCTAATCCAACTCCCAAACATCCCGCAGCCCCCTTTCTCTGATCCTTCCCAACACAGCTGTAATTTCCGTTTTCGGAGACTGGCTCCTCTCTCGTTATATCCCAAAGACATCAACCAATGGTGGGGATATCCGACCCACCTCCCCTTTCCGTTGTCCCCTGTAAACCAACCACCCCTTCTCCCGGGGCGTTACCCTTCTCCCGGGGCCTCAGAGCTCTGCCGATCTGGGGCAGCGAGGACTCGCACAGACCCATCCCGCCTGCATGCCCAGGTACGCGGGGCCGGGTCTCTACCCTGACCCCTCGGTTTCTCTCTACGTCACAACGGGCTCATTTTGCAAGATGCCCGGGATTCCCAAGACACCAGGATGCAGAGAAAACGGAATCCCAGACCCGCCCCAGAGGGTCCCTGAGAGCCATCCCGCAGAGCGGGCCTGTGTTGCTATGGCAACGCGGCCTCCGCGCCTGCTTCTTGGGCACTCTTACGCATGCCCAAGAGTGCTGAGGACGCGCCCACCAGAAGACTCTATTCCCACACTACCCAGAATGCTACGCGGTGCTGGCGTCATGACGTCGCGACGGGGCGTGCCCCGCGCCGTGATTAAATTATCCGAGCTGTATGAGAGAGCGCAGCAGAAGGTAGCTTCACCTCTCTCAGTTCTGGAGAGGCTTTAATCTGGGTACGGAGAGAGCTGCCGTCCTGGTGCGGCAGCTCTGCTTCCGGGTCAGGCTGTGACGCATGCGCAGAGAGTTGGGTCTGGTTTGTTCCTCTCCCAGCGTTTTGGGAGACTTAAGGGTTTGGAGATCCAAAGCAGAGGATCACAGTACACCCGCGAAAGGCGCCTTCTTCGGGACCGAGGGACACAGCGAAGATTATCCGGCCCAAGCCGACCCGAAACCGCTTGAGCGACGGCCATGGCGGCTCTAGTGAGTATTAATGAGGCGGGGATGGGGGTGTCGCAGGACAGACCCCGGGGCCTCTCCTCGTCTCACAGATCGGTTCTCTCTCAGCAGGGCCCCGGCAGCCAGAATGTCACCGAGTATGTCGTCCGGGTCCCCAAGTAAGTCCCTGTCCATTCACACCAGTACCTCCGCCCCGTGGTGTTCCCCTCCAGGCCATGGGGCAGCGCACGAAAGACCGGCCCTGCCCCCCCCTCGCCCCCTCCTCCCGGTGCAAGACACAGGAACCGATACACCTTGATAATTAATGTTAGGGTCGGTGACTTTGTCCTGTTTCAAGGGTGTAATCATGGATTTGTGACTGAGTAAGCAATAGACTCAATAGTGTCTTGCCCATTCCAGGAACACAACCAAAAAATACAACATAATGGCTTTTAATGCAGCTGATAAAGTCAACTTTGCTACCTGGAACCAGGTAAGTCTGTAATTCTGGGTGGCTGGGGCAGGGGGCTAGCCCCGGGTTGGTGGTTGCGGCATTACTTTTCCGAAACGATGGTGCCCATACCTGTAACTCCAGCAGACCTGTGTGTTTCCAACCGTTTGGAGGCAGAAGCAGAAAGACTGAGTGTTTTAGACCAGCCTGGGCAACATAAAGAAAAGAAAAAGCATGCTTGGGGGTGTGGCTCAGCTGACAGCACTCACCCAGCATGCAGGAGGTCAAGCTGCGCCTCGGCAGCACCCATGCCGGGTGTGGTGGCACACTGCTGTCATTCATCCTGGCACTGGAGAGGGGTAGGCACTCACCAGAGTAGGCTCAAGTGAAGCCCAGGATCCATGGACCATGCCTTAAAAATAAAGTAAGCCAGGCGCGGTAGCACATTGGCAGTCAGAGGCAAACTCTAGGAGTTTGAGGTCAGTTCTCTTTGGTCCACAAAGCGAGTCCAGGACAGCCAGGGCTACACAGAGAAACCCTGTCTTGAAAACAAATAGTAAAGTACTGGGGAGCAGGATGTCTCACCCTGTGAAGACCTGACTCTCCAAGTTTGTCCGCAGACCTAACAAGTATGCCATGGCATGCATAATGTCACAAAAAAATACAGTTTTAAAAGTTTGTGTTTTAAGATAAAGCCAGCTGGTTGTGGTGGCACCTCCTCCCGCCTTTTTTTTTTTTTTTCTTGGAGACTGGTTTTTTCTGTGTAGCTTTGGCTGCCTCCATCTCTCCTGTGCTGGGATTACAGGTGGGTGCCACCATGCCTGGCTCTGCACACACCTTTAATCCCAGCACTTGAGCAACAGAGTCAGGTGGATCTCTGAGTTCAAGGCCAGCCTGGTCTGCATAGTGAATTTCAGAGCAGCCTGGCTAGACAGTGAGATCCTGTCTCAAAAGAATAAAACCAGAACACAAGACAGCTACAGCCACCGGTACTAATGCCCTAGCACCAGGGAGCATAAGTTTGGAGCCAGCCTGGGCTACATAACAAGATTCTTTAGATTAAAAAAATAAGAAGAATAAAAAGAAAATTAAAGGCCAGAGTGTATTTATTTTTTAAAGAACCATCTTGTTTTTATTTTGTTATTTCTTTATTATATTCTGCCTGCATGTGAGCCAGGAGGTCAGAAGAGGGCACAGGATCTCACCATAAATGGTTGGGAGCCACCATGTGGTTGCTGGTTTGAACTCAGGACCTCTGGAAGAGCAGCCAGGGCTCTTAACCTCTGCTCCCTCTCTCCCAGCGCCAAAGGCCAGAGTTTTAAACTGTCCACTCTTTCGGGTGCTCTACTAGAATGTCACTGTCTCTGTGTGGGTTGCTCCTGAGCCTCTCCCAGGTGGACCCTCGTCTTTAGTGTTGTACCTGTCTCTGTGATCTCATGGACCAGGCTGTTTTACTGGACTACCATATTCCTTGTGGCCAGAAGTTTTTGTTGCTCGTTTTTGGTTTCTCTATGTAGCTATGGCTGTCCTGGATTCACTTTGTAGACCGGGCTGGCCTTGAACTCACAGAGATCCTCCAGAGATCCTCCTGCTTCTGCCTCTTTGAGTGATGGGATTACAGCTTGCACCACTGTGCCAAGCTGGCCAGAATCCTTTCTGTGTGTCTGCTATGTGCCTGTCAAGGCCACAGTCAGCCTCAGGTGTCTTCCTTCATCACTCTCTACCTTATTATTTCCATGACATCTGTTGGGTTCCAGGTGTAAGAATGATACAGTTTGTAGATCAGAGAATGGTTTGCAGTTCGTTCGTTCTTACCTTCTTCCATGTGGGTCCTGAGGCTTGAACTCAAGCAAGCCTCAGGCTTGGCAGCAGGTGCCATCTCACAGGCTTTCTACACTATTTTTTGAGTTGGGGTATCTCACTGAACCTGGGACTTGCTGACCTGTGAGTTTCAGGGACTCTCCCGTCTACACCTTCTTCCTGGGGTCTCGGATATACACTGCCATGCCCAGCTTTGTCCGTGGGTACTGCAGGTCCAGACTCCCGTTCCTCATGTTTGTGAGCCAGGTACTGCGCACACTGAGCCATCTCCATGGCCCTGTCTCTGGGCAGAGTGAGCAGGTGCTCGAATGCCTGCCCTTTTGCCACATGGGGTCTGCTGGGAGCACAAAGGGAGACAGACAGGGTGTTCCTGCTCCTGCAGGCCCGCCTGGAGCGAGATCTGAGCAACAAGAAGATCTACCAGGAGGAGGAGATGCCAGAGTCCGGCGCAGGCAGCGAATTCAACCGCAAGCTCAGGGAGGAGGCACGCCGGAAGAAGTACGGCATCGTCCTCAAGGAGTTCCGGCCTGAGGACCAACCATGGCTCCTCCGTGTCAATGGCAAATCGGGCAGGAAGTGAGTGGTGCTGATGGTAGGGAGGGGCCAGTGTGCGTGTCTCTCACACATGCACAGTTTGGGCATCTTCTCGGGTCTGTTCCCACCAGATTGGGGGTCCCAGTACCACCTCCCTTATTAAAATTTGATTTTGGAGGTGAAGCCGCTGGGTGTTGTTGGCCTGGCTCACCAGCCCAGAGGTGGCCGTGACACTTACCCTGTGGGAGAGAGCACTTCATGGCAAACAGGGTGGAGTCTGATAGCGCCAGTGACACGGCCTCTGCACGGTCATTCAGTGACGGGATGGCTGGAGGCTGATGTCGTGTGGCCCTCGGTAGCCAGGCTGGGTTATAGGCTAGGAGCAGAATCCACAGCCAACATGGCGCCCAGGTGGCTGGGTGATGGTTTGGGCTAAGGAGATGGTGACCCAGGCCCTTCTGTCCCTGGCATCCCTAGGAGAGCCCACATGGGTGCTGTGGAGGGGCGGGTGGGGATGGTGGTGCAGCAGGCCCTGTGGGTAGGGCCATGACCTGACCTAGGCTCTCCACAGGTTCAAGGGCATAAAGAAGGGCGGGGTGACAGAGAACACGGCCTACTACATCTTCACACAGTGTGCCGACGGTGCCTTCGAGGCCTTTCCCGTGCAGAACTGGTACAACTTCACACCCCTGGCCCGACACCGCACACTTACTGCCGAGGAGGCCGAGGAGGAGTGGGAAAGGTGAGCCGAGAGGCTTAGAGTGCAGACACCCTTGGAGCAAGCCCATCCGGTGCTGGCAGCTGTCTGCCCAAGTGCTAGCTTGGGCAGACCTGGCTCACCTGAGTCCCTGGCCTGGCAACTGAGGGCTGGTACCGCAGATAGGCACAGCCTGGGGGTCCAGGGAGGCGCCTCCTGCTGGCAACTGCCTCAGTTCTAGCCTGGGAGGCAGAGAAGGTGGATGTGGGGAAGCTGGACAGAGATGCTGGGGAGGCTCTGTGCCTGCCCACAAGTCTGGACGCTGCAGTGCAGCTTCCCAAGGAGCCAGGATTGAAATGGCAACAGCAGCCTCTCCCCGATGCTTAGTCTTACTCCGAGCATGACAGCTCCTTGCTCAGCGTGACTCCGGCTACCCCTTCTCTAATGAGTCATGAGATGAATTGTGAGGATGCAGGGTGGGGTAGTGCATGTCACCCTAGTCCTCAGAAGGTGGCAACAAGAGCAGCAGGAGTTCAAGTCGTGCTCTGCTGTATTAAGTTTGAGACCAGCTAGGGTTTTATGAGGTCTGGTCCAAAACACCCGGGAATTTGCCAGGTATGATGGTGCACACCTGTAATCCCAGCACGCTGTTGAGTTCAAGGGCAGCCTGTTCTACAGAGTGAGTACCAAGACACTCAGGAAAATACAGAGATCTTATCTCACCAGTCCCCATCCACACACACACACCACAAAAACTTTTTTTTTTTTTGCTGGGAACAGACCCTGAGCCTGGAGAGCTAAGATGTGAGGCTCCCAGGGGCTTAGGTACACACAGACCTGAGGCCATCTCAGAGCTCACCCTATAACATTTCCAGATTCGGAGGTCTGAAATGGCTCAGGCTGCATGCTCTGCCCTTTTCGTTTTGTTTCTGGTTGGTTGGCTGGGGGCTGGTTGGCCTATAGCATTCTGTGTGCCTTGCAGGGTCTTTCTGCCTTAGCCCCCCACAGCGTGCATGCCTTATGCACGTCGTCCTGTCATGCCCACCTGTTTCTCTGGAGGAGAGGTGCCCTCCTGAGTGCCCTGGCCATTCTCCACCGTCCTCCTTGCCCAAGCTGTCCTCTTCATCCCCTTCGCTGTGCACTAGGCCAGGCCGCTCCCTCACTGTCCCCCTCACCCCCCTTGCTGTGTACTCAGCCACTGTCCACTGTCCCCACTTGCAGGAGGAACAAGGTCTTGAACCACTTCAGCATCATGCAGCAGCGGCGGCTCAAGGACCAAGACCAGGATGAAGAGGAGGAGGAGAAGGAGAAGCGTGGCCGAAAGAAGCCCAGTGAGCTGCGCATCCATGACCTAGAGGACGACCTGGAAATGTCCTCCGATGCCAGCGATGCCAGTGGCGAAGAGGGTGAGCAGGGACCCAGAGGACTTAGTTCAAATACAGCCATGCTGAATTAAGGCTACCAGGGAAGCTCCAGACACATGGTCACTCTATGAGTGGCCCTTTACAGAATCCCATGGGATCTGTTTGCTTGACTGTTTCGGGTGCTGTGCTGCAGCTCACATGGGCCTGTGTGAGCATAGCTATAGGGTTTCTGTGTCTAAGTAGCAGTACTGGTGGAGTAGGGTGAGGGCAGTGGGCTAGTTACTTGAACAGGAGGGATATCTGCCCAGGCTAGCTTTCTACTTTCTCTTAGAATTTGCTCAACCTCAGGTACAGGCTCCCTGTCAAGATCTAACACATGAAAAACCATGCCAGGCTGGCGTGCTGCAGTGATCCAAGAACGCAAAAGGTCTGAGGCAGGAGGCTCCACAGTTCACAGCCAGCCATGTCTGGCTACACGGACCCTATCTTAAAAAAGCAAAGGGCTAGAGCAGGTGTTGGTGACACGCCTATAATCCCAGCACTCAGAGGCAGAGGCAGGTGGATTTCTGTGAGTTCATGTGGTCTACAGAGCAAGTTCCAGAATAGTCACAGATACAGAGAAACCCCATGTACAAAAAAAACCACAAAACCACAAAAAATAAAACCCCCAAAGGACTAGTTGGATAGTTCAGAGGTGGAGAGCCCTTTCCCCACACCCCACAGGTATGTAGTGGGGGGCCACATAGGCTCCCTCAGTGAGGGCTGGGGTGGAGCCAGGGTGCTGTGCCCACCTAGAGCCCCGTTTGGTCACAGCACTGGCATATTAGACAGCTGTATTATAACAACAAAATCACAGTCACTAAGTAGCAATGAAGTGGATTTATGGTTGGGGGTCACACATGAGGAACTGTGTTAAATAAAGAGTTGCAGCATTAGGAAGGATGAGAATCACCGCTCTAGGTTGTGTCCCCACCTGAGGCACAGTTTGTATTTATGTACTACTTATACTGCAAATCAGCAACCTGTAAGACTCCTTCAGAAAGCTGTCTTTGGTGGCACAGGCCTGGGACCCCAGCACTGAAGAAGCTGAGGCAGGAGATTCATTAATTCAGGGCAAGCCTGGACTACAAACCAAGGCTTCATATGAAAAGTAAAATCTCACATGTATGTTTTTGCTGTAGAGTTGAACATCCATCACCATAATGACTTTTGGAATGATTTCAAATCTGTCTTAGTCAGGATTACTGTTGCTGTGATATGACACTATGATCAAAGAAAGTTGGGGAGGAAAAAGTTTAATTACACTTCCATAGCACTGTTCTAGGAAGTCAGCCCGGAAACCCAAACAGGGCAGGATCCTAGAGGAAGGAGCTGAAAAAGAGGTCTTGGAGGGGTGCTGCTTACAGGCTTGCTTCCGTGGTTTGCTCAGTTTGCTGCTTTCTTCTTTTTTTTTCTCTGAGACAGGGCTTCTCTGTGTAGTCTTAGCTGTCCTGGACTCACTTTGCAGACCATGCTGGCCTCTAACTCAGAGATCCACCTGCCTCTGCTTCGCAGAGTGTTGGGATTACGGGCATGCCCATTCTTGTGGAACCCAGGACTGCCAGCCCAAGGATGGCACCACCCACAATGGGCTGGGTGCTCCCGTCAATCACTAAGAAAATTAGTAACCTGGCCAGTGGCGCAGGCCCGCAACCCCAGTGCTCTGGGAGGCAGGGGCAGGCGGATTGTTGTGAGGTCAAGGTCTACAAAGTGAGTCCAGGACAGCCAAGGGTACACGGAGAAACCCTGTCTAGGAAAAAAAGGAAGAAAAGAACCTACAGGGTCACTATGGCCTGATTTTATGGAGCAGTGCTCTCAATTGAGGCTCCTTCCTCTTGGATGACTCTAGTTTGGATCAGGTTAATGTAACTAACCTCGACAGAATTCCTGCCTTTCTCTCCTGGTGACTGTGAGTCCTCATGTCCCTATAGCGCTGCATGCTCAGATCCTTTATAAAAGTGTCAGATGTCAGTGACTGTGGCCTTGACTGTCAGTCCTTGAGGATAACGATGCACATGGCATCACGTTAGAGTTCCTGGCTAGGTGGCGAATGCTGCTCAGGGCACAGCATCTGCCTAGAACCTCCCTGGGGGTGTGGCTTCGGTAGAGCCCCCGCCTATCCTGCAACGCTCTGGGCTCATCCAGTCTGAGCCCCTCTTACATCGCTTTCCATTCACAGGCAATAGAACCTCCAAGGCTAAGAAAAAGGCCCCACTGACCAAGGCAGGCAGGAAGAAGAAAAAGAAGAAGGGCTCAGATGACGAGGCCTTTGAGGACAGTGACGATGGGGACTTTGAGGGCCAGGAGGTAGACTACATGTCTGATGGCTCCAGGTGAGGCAGGGGAGGCAAGCGGGAAGCAGGCCCACGGCCACCGGCTTCACAGACTCACACCCTTCTCTGCCCTACAGCAGCTCTCCGGATGAGACGGAGGGCAAGCCCAAAGTGCCCCAGCAGGAGGATGGTCCCAAGGGTAGGTGTCAGTTGGGGACCAGCTGGGAGGTGGGAGTCTGCTGGAGAGTTGCCTCTCATATCTGTGTCCCCAGGTGTGGATGAGCAGAGTGAGAGCAGTGAGGAGAGTGAGGAGGAGAAGCCCCCTGAGGAAGACAAGGAGGAGGAGGAAGAGAAGAAGGTCCATACCCCACAAGAGAAGAAACGCAGGAAAGGTAGATGGGGTGTTCAGTGCTGGTGGACAATGGACAGCGCCCTCCTCTTCTGGACCCACTCGCAGAAGGTGCTGGGAGGGTGGGCTCTAGGGTCTCTGCTTACGATCCTTCTCTGGTCTGTGCAGACAGCAGTGATGAGTCAGATAGCTCAGAGGAGAGCGACATTGACAGTGAGACCTCCTCAGCGCTGTTCATGGCGGTAAGGGAAGGCAGGGCCCGGGGGGGCTTGGGTGGGAATGAGGTTTGAGCCTTCAGACTCACATCACGACCTCTGCAGAAGAAGAAGACACCCCCCAAGAGGGAGCGGAAGCCATCAGGGGGAAGCTCAAAGGGCACCAGCCGGCCTGGAACTCCCAGCGCAGAAGCTGCAAGTACCTCTTCCACCCTGCGGGCTGCAGCCAGCAAGCTGGAGCAGGGTGAGTGCCCAGAAAGCCTGTCCCTGGAGGGAGCGGAGCTGCCGGCAGCCATATCCTTCTGTACACCTGGTGTCCCCGATGTGGACTCCCCCAGACCTGACATTACTCTTTCCAACAGGGAAGCGGACAAATGAGACTCCAGCAGCCAAGCGTTTGCGGATGGACACGGGTCCGCAGAGCCTGTCTGGGAAGTCCACACCCAGCGGCGGGTACGTTCACACAGGAGCAGAAACACAGGTGGGACTTGGCTCAAAAGACTCTTATGTGACCAGAGCCTCCCTCCCTCCCTCCAGTGACATCCAGGTGACAGAGGAGGCTGTGCGCCGCTACCTGACCCGCAAGCCCATGACCACGAAGGACCTGCTGAAAAAGTTCCAGACCAAGAAGACCGGGCTGAGCAGCGAGCAGACCGTGAATGTGCTGGCCCAGATCCTCAAGCGCCTCAACCCCGAGCGCAAGATGATCGCTGACAAGATGCACTTCTCCCTCAAAGAGTGACACCAATAAAGAGAACAGACCCAGCGTGTGTGTCATCACTGCCACCTCATGGAGTCATGAGGCACCCAAGACCTCAGTCCATAGCCAGCTTGTCCCCTGTGCACGCTTTAGCATCTCTGCCCTGACCCTTCACTGGGGTATTCTGGGTGAAGGTGGGGGTTCCTATCCCTGACCACGCCCCAGCCCCTCCTTGGAGGATTCTCGGTAGGGTCCCCACTCTCGAGCAAGCATGTGTCTCTCCCTTGTATCATTGTGTTGTGTGGGGTCTGTGGTGGGCTGGTGTTTGGAAGTGCTCAGCTTCCAGCAGTCCTCCAGGAGTGCAGGCTGGGCCTCTGCTGTCGGTACAGCACAAGTGAAATGCCGGGACTCAGACCTGCTACTCTAGTAGTTTCAGCCATTGTCCTCTTGCTGCTGTGGCTGAGGCTGGCCTCAGATCCTCCTCCACTTCTGCAGTGCTGGGGTGATGGGCACGCACCACTGACAGGCATGGCTCTTTTACTTTGTCTTTTGAGGGAGAGTCTTGCTGTGTAGCCTAGGCTAGCCTGGACTCAAATGCCAGGATGACAGTTAAGTTGCCCTGCATATAGCCTTGGCCACTGAGAACTTGGCAGTTCCCAGCTTGGGCACTTCCCTTCGGTCACTGGAATTTAAACCTATTTCTGGCATTGGCACCTGGATGCTGTTTTCCATTCCCAGGTGACATTCCTGGGGTCCCCCTTATCTCCTGACAGGCCCAGCAGTATATCTTTTCCAGGCCAGCAGGCGTTGTTCAGGGAGAGAGTGCTTTACATTCTTGGATAGTGACATGGCTGATTGGTACTTGGCCTGAGCTGCTACCTTGAAAGCCGGGTCCTGAGCAGTCTGGGTGAAGCAAGAGCTTCCTCTCACCGGCAGCTGGACACCAGTGGAAACTCACTCCCACTCCTGCCACCCCTGGCTGGTGATTGTAGGAATGTTCCTACTCACTGAGCATCCCTGCCCAGCCTTTTGCTGGCCCTTTGGGCCTGGGCTTGAGGTGCCACCCATCTAAGGGCAGGCAGGGTATGCACCGGTGGCTACGGGCAGAACTGTGAGTTCAGGGGAACCTAGTTCACCTAGTTCAATAGTTTCTGGATGACAGACAAGTCACATTTGAAAGCCATTGTGTTTCTTTTCCTTTTTGAGACGGTTCATATAGCCCAGGCTGGCCTTGAACTGGTAATCCTCCTGCCTCAGCCTCCCCAGTGCTGAGACGACAGGCATACACCATCATGTCAGTTTAGGCTGTGCTTTAGATGGAACCCAGAGCTTATTCATACATGCTTAGCAAGCATTCTACAGATTCAACTCCAACCACTTGTGCCTTTTAAAAAAGATATTGTGTGTGTGCATGCGTGAGCGTCTGGGGTGGCTATGCAGCATGCGCATGGGACATGGTGGTCAGAAGACAACTTTTGAAGTTCGCTCTCCCCTACTGTGTGGATTCTGCAGTTCTCATGTGTTCAGCCCTGTGGCAAGGGCTTGTACCTGCTCACTGCTCACTGTACTAGCCTATGCTGGCCTCACCCTCAGCAGTCCTGCCCCAGCCTCCTGAGCACGAAGGACCCCCATGCACCCACACCAAGCATCTCCCAAGTCCTCGGCTTGTTGCCTGTGTTCATCTGCTGGGTCTCATGGATTCAGAAGTCCACAGAATCTGTGACCTTCAGGGAATGATTTGTTGCTGCCTCGTAGGAGACGCAGCAAACTCCAGCCTCTTGGTTTCTGATGCCCCAAAACCCAGACTATCTGTAGCTCCAGCTCTTAGGTTGACCTCCCCAGAACAGGAGTCCCAGCCCTGGGGCCATCCTCTAGCCTCTCCCTTTTCCTGTTTTGATGCTGGCTCAGCCAGGTCCGGAGACAGGGGCATGATGTCTTAATCCTGGCTGAAGCCGAGATGGATGGGTGCCCTTCCCAGTCCCTATCAACCCCACATGGCCCACACTCCAGCACCAGGCCTGTAACAAGGCCCTTCCTGGAACCCTCTGTACTTCTCCCACTGACAGCAGGTTGGGCGGAAACACAGCTTGGTAGCCAGCTCAGGGCTTACTTCTGGCTAATGGTAGGACACTCATAAATCAGGGGCGTCAGGGGAGTCGGATATGGTTCTATGGAATGTCTGGGTGGGTGAGCCATCAATTCTTAGAGGTGAGGGTGTGGGGACAAGGTGGGTGGGACCCTAGTGGCTTCCCTTGGCCACGGTGCTGGCAGTAAGTTTAACCCCCAGGCTCGGCAGGGAATAAATTCGGGGCACTAGGGTCTCGGCATCCTGGGACCTGCCTGTCACAATGGCTGCAGGAAGACTTCCAATCATGTTTCTACTCCTGTCCTTGCACCTGGGCCTCGGCTGGGTTGCTGATGCTCAAGAGGCTCCTGTGGCAGATGACCGCTCATCCGAGGAGATGGCAGAGACTAAAGGGACCTGGAATCCCCATCGGGGTAAGAATTCCTGGGGCCTTCTGACTCCCCAGTTCCTTCTCTCAAGCTCCCCTTTGCTTCATCATCGTGTTCTTCCCCACACCAGGTAATAACCATGTCCGCCTCCCAAGAGCCCTGGCTGGTCCATGCCAGCTGTGGAGCCTGACCCTGCCTGTGGCTGAGCTGGGCCTGGGCTATGCCTCAGAGGAGAAGGTCATCTTCCGATACTGTGCTGGCAGCTGTCCCCGAGAGGCCCGAACCCAGCACAGCCTGGTGCTGGCCCGGCTGCGAGGGCAGGGTCGAGCCCACGGCCGACCCTGCTGCCAGCCCACCAGCTATACTGATGTGACCTTCCTGGACGATCGTCACCGCTGGCAACAGCTGCCTCAGCTCTCAGCCACTGCTTGTGGCTGTGGTGGCTGAAGGTGGCCAGCCCTGTGTCTCACAAGCATGAGGCAGCCTGGGCTCAGGTGACATTTATTGGAAACTTGCATAGGCAAAGATAAAAAGCAAAGGGACTTGTGATTGGCTCTCAGCAATGAATGCAATAAAAGAATTGTTCTCATGGCCTTAGGAGTGTGTGTGATGGAGTTCACCCTGGCAGCACCAGGCTGTGTGAGTCCTGACACCTTCGGTGTCTCTTGAGAGGCCCGGCCTTGCAGATGAAAGCGGCCATGATACTCTTTTTTTCCTACCTCATTCACATATCCAGAGAATCGGCACACAGGTCAGCAGGCTGGGGGTGGCACCTCTGGCCTTCCTGGCCCCATCCCCTCAGGGAGGGAGCGGCAAATCACTGAGATGCGTCGGCCCCGAGGGACCCGGCGCTCCCCGAAAAATGATTCATCATCTCGAAGAATCTCATGGGAGAAGTCGTATCGGGCTGAACCCCTGCAAGAAGAGACAGGCTGAGGGGGGAGGTGGAGGAAAGTCCTGTCCCCTGTCCCTTCAGCATTGCTTTTCTGAGTGGTGGAGGTGCCATCCTCTGCTGTGAGATCAGAAACAAGATGTGAGAAACACTTGGCCTCATCTGGGGCTCCCAGGCTAGGCTGTACCTTAGAATGTAGAGAGAACCTGGCTCCAGCAACAGTTCCAGCCACTGCTCAGGTTCCTGGGTGTGCACCAGCTTCATAACACTTGGGGACAGCAGCGAAAGGCCGGCGATGGTAGATCCACAGAACTGAATGAGGGTTACAGTGTGTGTGTGGGGGGTCAGGCTCCAATCTGCCCTGCTGCCCCACCCACATTCTATCTGGGAGTTCTGAGGGGCTGCCTTCTGCCCACCTTGACACTGTCAACATGGGGCTTGATGTAGCCTCGAGGTTCCAGGTCCAACACGTGGACCAGAGATAGCAGGGTCTGGTCAGGGCCAAAGGCAGCCACCTGGACCCGCTGCAGGATGGCCTGGCTTGCTTCGGACCATCGGGATTTCTCTGTCTCCCTGAAGCCGTGGATAGCCTGGACAGAGAGCTCAGGGCATGACTGGGAACTTCCAGGACAGGGAAATGAGACACAAAGGACACATCGCAGGCAGTCTTTCCAGCTTGAACTCACAGTCCAGCCTTTAAGCTGGCTCAGCGAGGTCTCAACCTGGTCTCCAGGCTCCAATTTCCAGTGGCCACCTCAGTTCTGTCGGTTTTGGCCCACTCAAGACCCTAGTGAGACCCCAACTGCTGGCACTCTCCTGAGTCTGCTTTCTCTCCCTAATCTTGTTATCAACACCCCTCAGCTCCAGAACTTCAGTCTGAAGTGACCTCCTTGCCCTCCCTGCCCATTCCTTAGTGCTCCCCAAAGTCCTCCCTTTGATTCCAGGCCCAGCCCCACACACAGCTCCCGTTCCCAATGAAGCCCACGAGTGATATGCTCCCACTGGAACACTGCACTGCTCTACCTCCCCTGAGCGCAACCCTCCTGTCCACTTTCCCTGGCTCCGCGTCCTTAATCTGTTCTAAGTCCCACCCCCGACACCCGAGCTGCCAGCCCTCCCCTGGACTCAACTCTGGCATCAAGATCAGCCCTGTCCCACAGGGCGTGCCGACCTCTGTCCCTCCCGAGCTGCCCAACACCCGCCACGTCCCTTACCGGAGCAGCCCGGCTCCCTCCCACCCACGACCACCCCGTCCCACCCGAACCTGTCCCTAACACACCGTGCCCAGCTTGGCCGCGCCTGCCGAGGCACCCGCCCCTCACCGCGGCCAGGGGATACTCCGGGCCTCCCGCCCCGCCCACTCACTGTCCCAGTGGGCGTGGCCGTAGCTCTCCGCCCCGCCTCGGACCCGCCCACTCACCGCGTCCCAGTGGTCGTACTCATAGCGCCGTCGCCGCAGTTGGGGCTCCAGTTCCCGGGTCAGCGTGTCCTCCTCCGCCTGGCTCAGGAAGCCGGGCAGCACCAAGGCCTCGCTGCGCAGGCGGCTCAGCACGGCAGGGTCCGAGCCGCGCACCCAGCCACACCCAGAGAACGCCCGCAGCGCCAGCCTCCCGCTGCCCGCCATCTTCGTGAGATGACTGGGGCAAGCCGGGCCACGCCCCCGCGAGCCCGCTATTGGCTCTCCCACTAGCTCCCAGCCCGCCTCCTCCCCCACGCTATTGGACACGAGAACACACTCACATCCTATTAGCTGTATCACGAGTCGGTCTACTGCGGGCCCCGCCTCTCGGCCCTGAGCAAGTTCCACCCAGGTTCCCGAGGTGCGGACCTCGGGGTCACGTGGGGCAAAGCCAAGGTTAGAAGTTCAACCAACCGATCACACACACGTACGGCCTGTCGCACAGCACACCCTGGTGGAGAGCGAGGATAACAACTCCTAGGTCAGCACTGACTACCACTTGAGGCCAGCCTCAACTACAGGAGATGCTGGCCGCAAGATAAAAAAATAAGACGTTCCAAAAAATAATACCAATTAATACAATCCGCACCTCAAAGGTTGTGAATTAAAAAGCCAGAACAGTAGTCCAGTTCCACACCCCTCTAATAAAGTAACATCTGGCTGGGTCTAGGAAGATGGCTCAGCAGTTAAGGCACGTTGGCTTGTTTGGTTCCCGGACCCGCACTCTCAGTGCAAGCAGAAAAGCGACTCCTGCAAGTCCTCATTTGACAAGGCACTGGCTCCTGCCTCTCTCCCATGAATAAACTGGTCCAATTGCCCTTTTTATCTACAAACCCAATCCTCAGCTTCCATCTTTACTAAAATTCCATAAAAATTGCCCTACCATTCTTTCTGGCTCCAGCCTGCCTTTGGAACCTGCAATCAAGCGTCAGGACTTTTGGCACGTGCTGAGATCACCGGTGCCAGGTCTCATGGGTCAGAGGATCAATTTAAAGTTGATCCTCTGTGACTCCTCCACGTTGCCCCTGGTGGCCCCTCCAGTCTAACTCTCCAGGGGCAGGGACACAGCTTATCAGGTCAGAATTTATTTATTTATCCCCCACCTCCGGGACAGGGTTTCTCTGCCTAGCCTTGCCTGTCCTGGACTCACTTTGTAGAACAGGCTGGCCTTGAACTCACAGAAAGTTGCCTGCCTCTGCCTCCCTGGGTTCTGGCATTACAGGTGTGTACAGCTGGGACTGGCTGGTAGCAGTACCTATCAGGAGGCTCCAGAGGACAGCACACCCTCCTCTGACTATGAGCATTGTACTTGAATGCACAAACCCACACATAATAAAAAAGATATGCATAAAGCCATCCTTTTACCTGCTGGCTTTGGGCCAGTATATGGCTCATATTTGCTGACAGCCAGGCGTGGTGGTGCACGCCTTTAATCCTAGCAGAGGCAGATAGGTATCTGAGTGTGAGGCCAGCTTGTTTTATGATGCTAGTCCTAGGACAGCCAGGGCCACACAAGAGAAAGTCACAGAGTTTGCTGACTGAAGAAGTGGTTTGTCAAGGTGAAAAGGGCCTGGTGTCTTACAGAAGTAACTGAAGGCGCTTCAGACGTGGGACAAAGACCAAAAAGATTTAATTTAAAATCAGAGTCTTAGGCAAGCTGCCCTCCTGCGATGATGGCAGCCTCAAGGCATAGCTCCTCCAGGGGTCCCCCTGGGCTCAGCAGAGGAAGTGTGGGCAGTCCTCTCTCTGGTCTCCACACTCCTGGAGATGAGGCCAGGCCTTTAGGTGCTTGCTGGGGAAGAAGGATCGGTCGGTGCTATGGGAGTCTCCTTCTGTACCAGTTCTGGCTCATCCTCCCCATCCTGAGGTGGGTGGACCAAGACCTTGTCCAAGATGCCAAACTCCTGGGCCTCCATGGGGCTCATGTAGCGGTCCCTCTCCATGGCTGACTCTGGGGAAAGCAGTACATGTGGGTAAGAGCAGAGACCTGGATGTAGTCCTCAAACTCCCAGGTTGAAGTCCCTACCAGTAGTAGAATGGTTTATGGAGTTCTGAGGATGGGTCCCCACCATGGATCTGTGGCGGCACACACCTGTGATCCCAGCACTCAAAGAGGCAAAAGCAGGAGCATCTCTGTGAGTTGGAGGCCAGCCAGGAGTTATACACAGAAAACAAAAACAAAACCAACCAACCAAAAACCAAAAGAGAAAGCTATTTGGAAGGCAAAAGCAGGAGGATTTAAAGTTCAACGCCAGCCTGGACTACATACCAAAATCATGCCTCAAGATTGGTATAGCACTCGCCTAGACCACACAGGGCCAGGATCCATCCCTAGAACCACCTGTAATCCCAGAAAACCAAAGGTAGAGCCAGTAGCATCAGGAGTTGAAGGTCATCTTTGGTGATGCAGAAATGTCACCTTCTAGGCATCAGCTACTCCTGACCTTCCTGTTTCCAGGACTGAGATACACATTCCTAGCATTTCAGCTTCCAGCCCATGTTTCATGGCTGAGTTACCTAAAACATGTGCTCTGATAATTCTATGGGGCTTGGGACTTCTCTGTGTCTGTTTCCCCAGCAGTAAAAAAAACAAAAAAACATTTTATTTCTTTTTTTGTTTGTTTGTTTTTGAGACAGGGCCTCTCTGTGTGGCCCTGGCTGTCCTGGAACTCTGCAGCCCAGGCTGGCCTCAAACTCACAGAGCACCACCTACCCATGCTCCCTGAGCGCTGGGATTAAAGGTGTGCGCCACCACATTCTTTTTTCTTTTTTTTTGGAGATGTACTTAGTTATTATATATATAGTGTTCTGCCTGCATATAAGCCTGCTCCCCAGAAGAGGGCACCAGGTTGCTACGGGTGTTTTGGTTTACGATATGTAAACATATTTTTCTTATAATGCCAAGCTGGGGAGTTTTAGTTTGTCTACACTGTTTAGTGTCTCCTGTGGAGCACGGTCTTTGCCAGGTGGAATTAGCCCAGAGGAAGAAGGCAGCTACCCGGGGGAGGACTGCTTGCTGCTGGTTTGTCCTGCTGCTGCCTTTGCTGTTTGCTGATTTGCTGGTTACCCGGACTTCTGGATTTCCTGACGACTTTTATTGGTATGCCCCCAACAGAATCCTACAACCCTACCCAGCAAGAAGTAGCAGAGAGAACTCCGGCCCTTTCCCCACTAACCCTTCTCTCCTACCCAGCATTGGGGGGTTGGAAGGGGTAGCGTTTAATAGCCCTAAATAAAGTAAATGTGTTAAAAAGTCTAAGCCTACAGCAGAGCTCATTATAAACGTGGTTGCTGGGAATTGAACTCAGGACCTCTGGAAGAACAGCCAGCAGAAGTGCTCTTAACCTCGGAGCCATCTCCCCAGCTACATTTCTTTTTTTTCAGACAGGATCTCAGACAGCCTAGGCTAGCCTCAAAGGCATGCCCTCAAGCTGATTGTCCTGCCTGAAGCTGCCCAGTGCTGGGTGGCAAATGTGCATCACCACACCACAGTGATTTAATTTTTACTGACTACTCGAACGGTCAGGGCTCGGCACCCAGCTGGTGGGAGAGAATCAGCTCCTGAGCACTGGCCGGCGGCCACTACATCCCACAGCACACATATGCCCACTCACATACCAATAAAATGCACCAGGAAAAGGTCACATGGCACCATGTGATGACTCCCAGGCTGAACACATGCGGCCAGCAGCAAGATACATCAAAGAAGGGCATCAGGGCAAGCAAGACAGCTTGGTGGGAAGAGGTGTTTGCCACCCAGTGATGCCCTGGACTTCAATCCCCACACCCCACAGGTGTCAGGAGAGTCCTTCAAACTATCCTCCTACCCCCACATCCACTGTGGCAGGCACATGCCCCCCCTCCCCCCCCAACCAGCTTCTAAAAATAAAATGTCCCAGGTACCAGGGAGACCCTGCCGGCACCCACAAGCACCAACAGTCCTTGCTACCTTCTCCCACCCAGAATAACCTGTCAAAATAGCACAGACCAGGTGAGCACGCTCTTTTGTGGCTCCTTTATTTATTTCGGCCTGAGGCTGACTCTTGGAATATTCTCTAGGTCAGTCTACGACTCCCTATTCTCCTGCATCCACCTCCTGGTGCTGGGATGACAGGTAGGTACCACCACACCGCGTTTGCAAGGCTGAACTGAAGAGCTCAGAACAGAGGATTTTAACCAGAGGGAATTCTGCCCAACAGGCTAAGAATTGCTGTTTTCTGATGCTGCACATAGACAACCCAGGGCCTAAGAAAGGATGAGCCCCGGGGTTGGGGAGCTGTTCTAGCAGAGGACCCAGATGCAATTCCCGGCACCCACACTGTGGCTCACTTCAGGGGACTTCCACACTCTCTTCTGACCTCCTCAGGCATCAGGCACACACTCAACTTTGCTCAACTTTGAGACATACACACTGGAAAAACGTCATTATATATACAATAAAAAATAAATGAATAAAAAGAAGAAGAAATGTATCCTTAAGGCACACCCCCAGCCCTCACTGGGGAATTCTGGGGCGGGGCTCCACACCTAACCATGCTCCTAAACCCTCCCTGTGGGCTCCTAGGCAGGGGCACCACTCCTGACCACACCTCCAGGCCCTCAGTGTGTGGCCGGGGCTTGTTCTAGGCGGGAGCTCTACCAGAGCCACACCCCAGCCTTTCCAGACACTTTTGGCTATCGGCTTTGGAAGGGGCCACATTTGTGGGCTAGGGATTCTACTGACCAAGCCCAGGGCCGAGGGTGACCGTACTGAGCGCTGTGGCTCGGAATGTCCTGGTGGGGAAGCCCCGGGTTAGGACAGCGCTCCCGCCGTGTGCTCACCGATCACCTGCAGGCTCTGCTTGGTGTGCTTGGCATAGATGCTGTACAGCTGCTTCTTCAGCTTCATGATCTCCTCAGCCTGGATGGCAATGTCTGTGGCTTGGCCCTGAGGACAGCGAGTTGAGAAGACAAAGCCCACAGCTGATACCAAAACAAGGACTATCCCTGTGCTCCAGCCCCTGAGATTCTCACTGCACCTTCTTCCCACCCAGCTAGTTTTACTTCATTTTTGTGTGACAGGGTCTTCCCACACAGCTCTGGCTGTGCAGGACATCACTGTGTAGACGAGGCTGGCCCGAAATTCAAGAGATCAGCCTGCTTTTGCCTCCTAAATCCTGGGATTAAAGGTGTGCACCTAGGCGGC